TATACTATCTAACTAGGGGCTATGTGGCGACGTTCTATAGGACCTCCAATATGTGTTGACTTTGTAGGACACATGCCTTGACTTACAAGGCAAGTTTTTCTACGTGTGGGCCACATAGTTAGCTTGATCTTCAAGCTAACAACATGTGTGGCACATGGCCAACTTGTTGACCACGTTTCTAATCCAAAAAGTCAATTAAAGACATCTATGAAGTCAAAGCAGCATCTAGGAAGTTTCTAGGAAGCTTCTATATTAAATATTATAGAATTAGCTTACTTTTATCTACTTTTACTTATTTCTACCTATTTCTATATGTAATTATTAGCTTACATGATTATGGCCGTGACAATTTGACAATAACCATCCTAATTCAATGTATTACCATCTTTGTATGATTTTTTAGTCTTTTTGAGTGATATAAGAGTACATTGAGATTCATGTACTTGATAAGTGATTCTACTTATAGCTAATAATATTTATGCTTCTAAGCATAGTTATTTTAATATCACTTGTAGTTCTTCTTCTATATTAGATTTATGTACTAGATTGAGATAGAAATTTCTTTCAATAAGCTTATCCATTTTTATTCTTTTTGTCTACAATATTTACTTTATATTATTAATTAATAAAAAAGTAAGTAATTAGGCCATTCTTTCTATATTAGCTTTTGTATTTTCTATAGGAGGTGTAAGTGACAAGCTATAACTTTGCTATAGAATTGAAACTTCTTCTCGGTAGGATGTTGGGTTAAAGATTCTACTAGAATACTAAGTAGAAGATGAGGTAGATCCACATTGAGATAGAAATTTAATGTAAGTTGGATGTTCTTTGATCTATCCACTACTATAGTAATTCTTTGTATTGTATTGTTGGTTTTTAATATATCTTCTATTTGTTAATGCAAGGCAATGTCAAATATTTATTATGTAGTGTGCTTATTTTGGTGGTGGTATCATTAGAGTTCTTAGATTCTAAAAAATGTAGCTTTTAGAGCTCAAAGCTACCCATAGATGCTTTGGCAAATGTTGCCAAGTTATTAAATATTTTTTTTTATTGTTGGTACATTCTATAAGAGCTTATAGCAAACTTAATTGATTTGTTGTGTCTTCAAGTTGAGCTAAGTCTCTTTCTTGGTGGTCTATTATGCTCCCAATTCCAAACATCGTGCTTACAATTGTCATTTTTCTAATCTATCTATTATCAATTTTATATTTTGTTATGTTACTTGATCTTGCTGTTTGACAATATTGTGAATCTATTTTTCTATTTATAGATATATTATTCATTACAACAATAGTCTTTGTTGAAATTTGGGGGCAATAATATATACTCTAAACCTATTCAATTCACTTCATGATCTAATTATGGTCATATCCAAAATTCTAAAAAATTCATTGAACATCACAATTTTGATCCAAATGGTGTATCTGGCTTCCTTAGGGAATTCAAATACTATACAAATTGTTGTAAACCAAAACTAGCACTCAAAACTAACTAGAAATGATGGTCCCAAAAAAGCAGATCTGAGCTATGCGCATCTGATTTTTACGGAGCCCCTTCTTCTCTCCTGCTTGTAGCTCTCTTTCCTTCTATCAACTGAACTACGGTCGGAGTACTCAAAGATGAATTGAACTCTATCATCTGAGCTACATCCCTGGTATAGTCAGCAGTCGCCCATTGAGTATGACGCTATTCATCCCAGTTCTACCTTTATTCATGTTCCTACCGCACCCGAAAACCACTACCTCCCTCTCACCTCCTTTCTATTCCCTCCACACTCCTCCCCCATCACCTTCTTAATTCCTCCAATCTTTTCACCCTCCATACCACAATGACACTGGCATAATATGCACCTCTTCCACCACATGACCTATCAATCCTTTCAATAATGAACCACCAGTGTTGAACATTCCGAGAACATGCTGTTTTGCTTGAAACAAGTTTTGTCGTGCCTTGTGATTGCAGAGGATCGTGCACATTGCCAACATGAATGCCGATTACCTCACTGTGTTGCGTTTGTTCTCATCCCAAATTGTCGATCTTCAACAAAGACGTCGTGAATCAGGCTTCTGGATGCTTTCTTTCGGCTGCTATCGGTGCAGAGTTAGAGAGCTCCAAGCCCACAAATTAAGATTTTCGTACTAAACGATTAGATGAAACAAGCCACCGCCTCTCAAATCATGTGCAAGTCTGTTCAATTATATTGAACGGTTTATTTCACTTTTTAAGGGACAAACAATGAAGCAACGGCACACAAGTGACATATCCTTGGTAATGGCTCCCAATTGGTAGATTTTCTTTAAGAGTCCACATGGAATGTCTTTGTACGGAAGATTGCTTCCATATAGATTGTTAGTTTGGAAACTTCAAGAAACAAATTTTTTGGTCTATAGTGATTTATTTACTTATTTATTTATTTATTTATTCTAACTTAGCATAATCTGAAAAATGCTCCAAACTCCTTTTTTTTACCTTCTTCATTTTTTTAAGGAATATATTATTGTGTAGTCTATGAATTATTTTTATTTTTATGGAAAGTAAACATATATCAAAACTTTGTCTTTTACAACAATGCTCTTTTTTTTCATTTTTTTCTGGGAATAATTTTCTTTTTCAGTATTTTCAGAAAAAAAATATTTTAACATTTTGATTAAATCATTGAAATTAAAGAAAAATAAATAAATAAATAAAGCTTGGATGTGAGTAATGATTACAAGTTTGTTAAGTTGTTTAATAAATAAGTAAAATTGGAAATCTAATCCTTCTGTGCCAAAATTGTCTAGGGTTATTTTGCATTTCTAAGACCTGTGTTCCATGTCCGAGTATTTTAAGAAAAAGAATATATCCCACACTACAATGTGATAACAACAACTAAATTTGTAAAAAGTAAAGTCTTCAATTATTAACTTTGTTTGTTCTACTCCATAGTAACGTTACAAAAAGGGCAAAAAGGTAAAAATTAAAATGCTGATTGTATGCAATATTTTATTTAAATTTATATTTTCTTGTCACTCTTATATGCCTTCATAATCGTTCTAGCCACATGCTATTTTTTTCAAACTTAAAAAATCAGATATAATCAAATAGGAGTACAAAACTGGATCTTTTATTTTCCAAACTAAAGTATAAACAACATAACTCTATTTCTTATAAACCCTAAGTCAGAAATAATGTAATTTGAAAGAGTTTTATAGAATATGTTATTATCTTCTTAATATTTGTGTTGAAATTGAATCAGTTCCACAAAAACGTGCTTGTTTATACTTCATTCAAAAAATGCATTTGTAGGAGATATAATTTGTAATTGAGAAAATAATTAAAATGCCGTGCTCTTTTCAATTTTCAGTTTTTAAAACTTTTTTAGATCTCTCTTTGTATACATTACAAATATTAAAAATTGTATCAATACAATGTTTTTTTTTTCGGTGATGTGAGTGTAGTATTCTATTCAAGATGAGATCAAACATTTTACACTGTTAAACATATTTTTAAACAGTTTTTGTCAAGAAGTATTAATTAATGAGGACACATTCATGAGGACATAGTGTATTGTTTTTGTTTTGTTTTGTTTTATTTTGTTTTTCAAAGGTTGTAAATCACTAAACATATACAACATTTCCAACATCCATTCATTATTTTTTTATATATTTTAATAAATAATGAAATAAAACACTACTTGAAGCACTAAATTGCATATGTAATTGAATTTAAATAAATAAAAAAATTAATTAATTAAATAATGTGGTTTATTTTTCTTTGCAAGTTGTTTTCAAGAATGATCAATCTAACATTATAATGACAAATGCAAATAAAATACAATTCAAATGGAAATAACATATTTTTTGGAGGGTGCTAATATGCTCATATATATATATATATATGTAATGTCTTGTATCTAAGCCTTCAGTATTAAATATTATTATTATCACGCTTATACAAATACTAAAATTCCATTAACAAACAACGGCTTTTTTTCCCTCAAGATCCCAAAAGAGATACATTAAGAATTGTAATTTTTTTTCTTACTTGTATTTTACACTATGTTCATCCATATACTGAAGTCCACACCTAATGAACCCAATATCCTAGATCTAACCTCTAATGAATTATAAAAAAGACTGTCTATCTCGCAACACACTGGTTTTCCTATAATTAATTTATTAATTTATTTTGTAAGCAAGAAATAAATAAATAAAGTTACACACAATTATTGGTACACCCTCATCAATGAGCAAGGGTTGATTGGAATGGTGGAGCTGTCAGCATGGAAGAATGCCACCCACACGAATTAGGGAGGGGAAATGCTGACAAGGACTGCTGACTCGGACCCAGCGATCGCAAAAGATTAGTGGCTAACAGTCATCGAACTCTGTGAACGGGGCAGGATCCACGTGGAGGAATCCAGCTCAGCACCAGCGGCAGGTCTGACAGATGGCACCGTAGCCCTGTGTCAGTTACTGGTGCCCTTCACGAACTAACTTTTGAAAGCGAATAGAAACGGTATGGAGATGGCAGGGCCGGGCCGGGTCCAATGCAGCCTCTCTCGCACCCCCCCGCGGCCCGGCCCGACCCGCGACCGGGGGCCTTTGGCCTTGATCGCGAGTGAGCAGGACGCCGGCAACGCGCCACCTGCATCGCGTGCGCCTCGATTTGCGATTGCGTTGCTGCTGCCAAAGCCAAAGCAATCGATCAATCAATCGATTGATCGATTGCTGCTCTCTCCGTGCCCCGCTTCCCCCTTTTCCCTACCTACAAGATCCACAACCTCCCCCCTACACCCCTTTGTCCGATTCTTCACTCTGTCGCGGTTGAGAGTGTGGTTTTATTTTAAGTTTTTTAGTGGAGATTTGAGTCGTTCGATCTGTTGGGGCCTTTCCACTCACGAGGGCTTCTCTTCAAGGTCTGATAATCAGTGTTGCGCGGAAGGATTTTGTTGGGGTGTGTGTGTTTGTGCATTTTTTCTCGCAGAATTTGAACACTCTTTTTTTTTTTTTTTTTTTTTTTTTTTGGCTGAGTTGGGGGTTGAGGTCGTCGCGGGGGTTCGGCGATTTGGTGATTTGTCGATGCGGTGCCGAATGGTCCATCGTGTGCGTGGTGTTGTTGATTTTGGGTGGTTGTGGAGAGTGAGTAAGCTTGGAGGGTAATGGTGCAGTAGGGTTTTGGTTTCAGAGTTCGATTTCGAGGTTCTTAGGTTTGTCGATGGCGTCCGTTAGAAGTTGGATCTTGTCTGATTTTTGTTAGAGGCTTTCGTTGTGGCCAGTTCTTGCATCGTGTTTGGTGACAATGGTCTGTTTGTGTTGAGTATGTATCAGCGGTGCAGTAGTGGTGAATAGACATTTTTGTAGTGCTTTTCAAAGTTTTAATTGCTCGCTAATGCCACTGTGCTTTGGAGCAATGCTACGAATGAGAAATGGTTTTAATCTTGGTGGACTTTAGAATTTAGCTATCGCAGTGTGAGTGGGCTTCGTCGCCCTTACAGAAAATACCGTCAGGAAGCTCATTTTCTATTCTCATTATTATTATTATTATTGAAAAGAGAGTGGTGGCTTCAGTGGGTGTATACTGGGATCTTACCTCTTTTCTAGTTCGATTGAAGAGTTGGAGTTTTACGTTGCGAGTAGCTACCTGTGAGGATGCGGGTACGATTGTAGTGGTTTCTGCTGAACCCAGCAGTGCATGTTCGCTTCTTGGGCTTGCAATCAAATTTTCAGACTTAAAAGCAGGACGACCCTGCGTGCTGGGATAGCTACGACTGAGTTGACGGGAGTGATTGTGTGTTTCTAACTCGTTGCCTTGTTTTGTTTTTGCCGCAGATATACATCAAATTTGTATTTTCCACGCAGTAAATTACTTTGAGCAAGCGATTATCAGAGAATTTTTGAGGTTGCAGTAGTAGCATCCAATGTTCAACTCAATCGGTAGTTCCGCCACTCTCTTTAAATACGCACTTCCTGTGATATAAGGTGGCGAGAGGTGGAGACAGAGGTGTTGGGAGAAAAAACATCCTGTGCTGAGAGGAGCTACATATGTCGGGTTTGTCACCGATGTATACGCCACAGGGTATGCGGGGGTCTCCACATCAAAGAGAGACACCTATCCGATCTCTGGCACGAGAGAAAGGAAAAACTTCACCAGCAACTGCTACTACTGTAGGTGTGGTGACGACCACAATGACTACCTTAACGGCGGGAGGTGAGGAAGGTCTGGTTCTCATGAATCCTTTGACCGGAGCGCCAGACACAAATGGAGAGGCTGATGGAGTGCCGGACACTGATGTCTGGAAGAGGTTCCAGAGTGAAGGCGCTCTGGACATTTCATCTCTCGAACGCAAAGACCGCGCTGCCTTACACGCTCGGATCGCTGCCTTGGAAGCTGAGGTAAAAATTGCTACCAGAACTCCAAGTGTACTTGAACTCATGCATGACAAGGTGAAGCAACTGGGATCCAACTGCCAGTTGTATCAGTTTTCTGTTTACGAAGGCCAAGGCCAAAGCCTGCGTGTTAATTGAAGAACGTTGGTAGTTGTTTGATTTTGCTTCGCTTTGTCAGTGCTATGAGTCTTCAAGTTTTACGCTGGGAAGTTCGAGGACGCTCGGGGGTCAAAGGTTGTGTAAGGATGATGCAGCTATAGTAACAGAGAGACCTTTGCCGCATGACATTTTGGAAATATATTAGTGGCTCGTAATTTTATAAATCACTTCTGATCTCCTTCCACTCTAATGTTAAATAAGTTCTCTTCTGCCCTGCTTTGATCGGTGGTTTCTTTCTACCAAATTTTTGTGGTTAGTCGCTAAGAGTAACGCTTATCGTTCAACCTGTCCACTCAGAGTTCCAAAATTGTTTGGCAATGTTCAGAACACGCGAGTGGGTTATGTTTGCTAGCTTTTGATTGTCTCCTGCAGAAATAGTATCTCCCGTACTGAAATGTTTGCCGTTGTATCTCTTCAGCTATACGATTACCAGTACAATATGGGTTTGTTACTGCTCCAGCGCAAGACATGGTCGTCCCAAGTTGATGAACTCAAAGCTGCAGTTGCAGATGCTCAAGGAACACTCCAGCGCGAGAAGGCTGCACATTTATTGGAATTAACTGAAGTGATTAGACGTGAGGAAGCTGCAAAGAGTGCCCTGGAAACTGAGAAGCAGTGCGTTGCGGATGTAAGTATTTTCTGCATTTGAGATGGAAGATAAACTGAAAAGAAATCACAGTCTACCCCTTAATGTCGTTATCTTTTGTGACGACTTATCTTTCGCCGCTGCTTTGCTTTCTCTGTTTGTTGGTCTCCTTCGTTTAGTGAAATTTGAGTCTGCTACAATTTCAATATGTAACGACATTGGCAATTGGATTTTGTCTTTGAATGTAGTTGGAGAAGGCGTTGAAGGAAATTCAGGCTGATGAGTCGGAAGTCCGACAAGCAGCAGATAAGCAACTCGCTCAGGCTCGGGAGTTGGTGGCCAGTATAGAAGAGCGATCTATTCAGGCGGACCTGAAATTGGCACAAGTTCAAGTTGTGCGTGCTGATGCAAATCGTAAACTTCAAGAGTCTGAGCACCGGCTTCAGGAAGTGGAAGCCCGAGAGGTCGCTCTGCGTCTAGAGCGCCATAGTCTAATTGCCGAGTATGTCACTGGTTTACGTTTTTCCAGTCTGATAGTCCTATGTATTTCAGCTACTGTACCTGAAGACCTAATTGCAACATTCAAGGGATCCGTCACTATTCGTAATTGTGTTGCCTGTCACTGTGTATAAGCATGACAAATTTCTTGTTAACAGCACACTGTGCACATTTTCTGGTTCTTTCAGTGTGGAAGCACGAAAGGAGCAAGTGGAGTCAGAAGAGGCCAGCTTGAGGGAGTGGGAAAAACGACTTGAGGACGGCAGGATGCGATTGCAGGAAGGAGAACGGCTTCTCAATGAGCGTGAAAACTCCTTGAAGGAGCGAGATGAGGCCTTGAAGCAGATTAATCGAGAGGTGGCAGAGGCCCGTTCATACATTGAAAAGGAACGGGTTCTTATCCAGAAATCAGATGTTGATCTCAATGCTCGTGCAGTGGCTTTCTCAGAGAAAGAAAGGGTACATTTTCCACGCTTTTCTGATGAATCAAACCTTGTACTTTTTATGGTAATTGTTTTCGATTGGTAGTTTTGGTTCTTTCCGCGCAATGTTGTACGACAAGTGCTGAGAATTTCATTCGTCTGTGCTACGTCTACAACTATTTCTGTAACTTAAGGTGTTCGAAGTTTCTGATTTCTCCATCACCTTGAAATGAGGAGGTTTACGCTGAGATCACGCTTGTCAAATGCAGGCTTTAAGTGAGCGAGAGTTGGAGATATTGAAAAAGGACCAGGATTTGATACTCGCCGAGGAGAGGATTGCAGATAAAACCCGGGTATGCTTGAACATACGACGCCTTAATAGTAAATTGCCATTTTAATCAATACTAGTACTGTCTTCGTGATTCTCTTGCTAAAGTAGGAAAATATGGGGAATTAATTGAATGCGGCAGTTGTTTCATATCACAAAATGCAAGGGTCTATTATGTTTTTACACATAGTTAATGTGTTTGTGCTTCGTTTGCCCAGGAATTTGAGACTCGCGAGCAACAAGTTCGGGAGACGGAAGTATACTTTGGGCAAGAGAGAACTCGCTTGAGTGACTTTGAAACTGCTTTGAAATTTAGGGAGGAGAGCTTAGAAGAGCAGAAACATGAACTCGTAAGCTTCCTCATTTCTAATCACCGAAGATGTGTGTGTCTACCGCTTCACAAATTTCACTCATAGATAGAAACAGTGAAACTACTGCCTAGGGAAGACTCGCCATGGATTTTATTTTATCTTATTTGGTTAACGCCGCTGAGGAGTCTCATCTGACAAACCGTCCGAGGTCTTAAAGTTTCTTTTGAGGATGCTTGCTATTATCGTTGAGGAAGAAACTGGAATGACGTGGACCGTATTGTGGTTTTACTTAGGCTGAAATGGAAAAATTTCTCAAGAGTCATACGTCAGATGTGGATTCAAAGAAAGCAGAGTTGCTGACAGCGGAGGAAGAGCTGCGCTCAGTTCGCAAAGTACTTGCTGCCGAGAAAGAGGAGGTCGAAACCTTGAAACTAGTTGCTGAATCCCGGGAGGCTAGGTTGCGGCATCTGGAAGCAGCGATCACGGCAAGGGAAGAAGAGTTGGAGTTGCGAGTCCAGGAAGTCGTGGACCGCGAGAAGGTTTTAGAGCGTCGTTTGGAGGAGGTGAGCAACTTGGAACAAGGTATACGTTTTGAGGAAAAGAAGTATGAGAACGAACATCAGCGCATTGCGGAGCTGAAGGAGGAGATTCGCAAAGCCAAGCAGGAAATGGAGGAAAATAAACGGAAGCTGGAACTTCAAAAGCAACAGATTGAGGAGGAGAGAGAGCATCTTCGGCGAGAGTGTGAGCTTGAGCGACAGGAAATTGAGGAAGAGAGGGAGAAGGTCCGGAAAGACTGGGAGGAGGAGCGCGAGGAATGGGAGCAGCAAAGGCTTCTTGTCCAAAAGGATGTGGAGTACAAGAAGGAGCAGCTAGAGTTAGAGCAGGAGCGTCTCCGTGGAGAGTTGAAAGCAGAACGTGAAAGGCAGGGTGCAGAACTAGAAAATCTGCGTGTGAATCTCCACAATAACCTGGAAGTACTGCGTGAGAAACTGAAGGCAGAAGTTGAGTACGAACGCGATGCCCTTCGCAAGGAGATCGAAGCTGACCAGGAACGGGTTGCAGGCCTTCGGGAGGAATCACGGAAGGCCATTGAAGCTGAAAGAGAGCAGGTTGATGAGGGGCGCAGCCGGATCAGACGGGAGCTTGAGCTCGAGAGACAGCAGCTGATAGAGGAGAGCGAGCGAGCACATGCTGCAATTTACCTCGAGAGGCAAAAGTTTGAAGACGAGCAAGAGAAACTGAAGGCGCTTGAACAGGAGAGAGAAGAGCTTGTTAGGATTCAAGTTCAATTAAAGCAGGAGATCGACGAAATAAGGGCAAGGAAACAATTTGTAGACGAAGAGGCCCAAGAGCTGAAACAGCAGAAGGACCGATTTGAGCGGGAGTGGGAGCTCCTGGACGAGAAGCGGGAGGCCACGAGAAAAGAGCGAGAGAGGTTTGAGGAAGAGTTTAAGAGGGTCACTGAATGGATGCGTGATGAGGAAGAGCGGCTGAAAGAAACAAGGCGGGAATTTCAGGAACAATCTCGAAGGATGACCGAGGAACTCCAGAAGGAACGGATATCATGGGAGTCACGCTTGGAGACTGAGCGAAACCAGCTCTACGCACAGCTCGATGCGGAGCGCCAAGAATTGAACCGCAACCTTGAACGCCAACGCGAGGATCTTGACCGTCGTCTTGAATTAGAAAGTGAAGCCTTCGCGAAGCAATTTGAAGAGCGGGAGGCTCAATTGAGGGCTGAGGTAGAGCAGGAGAAGGAAGATCTGAGAAAGAATCGTGGCTCTGTCATTGGAGAATTAGAGCAGCTGCGGGCAGAGCGCTCCAAGCTTGAGAAAGAGCGTCAGGAACTCTTGAAACAACGAGCAGATGCTGAGAAAGAATGGGATGAAATCAAGAAGGATATCCACCAGCTGCAGGTGCAGGGTGAGAAGCTACGTGAGCAGCGCCAGAGTCTGCACATTGAGCGGCAAAACACGCTTCTTGAGACTGAGCGGCTGCAAAAGCTGCGGGATCAGATGAAAGGTTCTGAGGGCTCCATGAGTATGCGTGTGTCGGAACAACCAATGCGCATGGATGAGGAGGTTGTGTCTCCTCATTCGCACGGTCTCGTTCGCACTGATACTCTGCGAACATCTGCACTCCCCTTTGTGCTCGGGACGCACCATGCCTCAAGCTCCCAAACACCTTCTCGAAGGATGATTGCCAGGACGCCGAGTAGACTTGCATGGATTCAGCGATGTGCAAGCAGGGCTTCCCAGTTGTTTTTGTCCCCTAACAAGCTGCTAACAGGTCAAGAACCAATTCTGGAAGAGAAGACAGATGACGAGGGTGAGCCAAGGCTAGGTGCAAATGATCCATGCTCAAGCTTTAACCAGTCACAGCTCGGCCAGGTCTTGGATACTACAGAAGATTCTCATAGGTTCAAAAGAACATGGTCTACACAAAGGGTCGTTGAAGAGGCCAATACTATTCCGGGGTTACAGGAAGAGAAGAACTTTGAGAGCAGAAATCGCTCAAATGTTGTTACATTCTCTACTCCTGATGCAAGTGGTGATACTCGGAAAAAGAAAAGAGCTAGAGGAAACGTGGATGATGAAGTGCCCCTTCTCCAGTCGCAGCCGGATGCAGAGGACCAGGGTGGCACGAAGCGGAAGAAGAGGATCAAAGATATTATGGTCGAGTCTGAGACCAACGGTGACTCTCTTATTGACACCCCACGTTCTCGTGTTGGTACTCCGGCCACCAAGCGCTACAATTTTAGGCCCACTACCATGTAAGTATTAGCTCCCTGTTTTTTATTTATTTATTTATTTATTGGTTGTGCTCATAGATATTAGGACTGTTATCATTACTCAAGTATTCCATTCGTTCATTTTTCATCCACCTGTGGATACTGTGGAACAGTGCTACTCTTTCTCAGCTAATTCATTTTACAAACCATATTTAGTTCGAACTTTGGCTTTGGAAGCTAATTGTGAGTGCTCTGTTTCAGCGTGAACATGATGGGTGCCTCTGAGAACGAGTCGTCCCGGCATCATGATCATTCAAATAAGAAGGCAGCTTCTGCAGCCAACCAACCAGCAGCTGCATCTGTCGACAGGTTGCCCGACGCTTCATCACAACCCGTTCAAGTAAGTATGCACCAAGTTTGCTGTATTTATGTGAATGTATCACTGTTATGAAATGATTGTTATCATGTTTTGCAGTACTGTGATTGCGCTTCTTTGTAAATTACCCGAATGGATCATGAATTTGACTTTTGCATGAGATTCTACTCAACATTATTGCGCCCTGGTTGTGGCATCAAAACTTGGGGACACCCAATGTGGTAGTGTCCACGTATGTTCGCTCTCGTGATGGACGTTTATTTTGGTTATTTGTTTAATAGGACACTGAGATTGACATGCACGAAGCGCCGACTGTGGAAGAGGGATTCGAAGCACGCGAACAAAATAATTCAGTAGCAGAGGATGATCAAGAAAGGGATACAACTGCTGCTGTGGCTGATCATTTTCCTATAACGCAAGTAGTGACAGAAACCACTACAACCGTAACTGAAACTATCAGAGAACAAGCAGTTTTTGATCTAAATATAGGAGTAGAGAATGTAGAGATTGCTAGGACAGTGCCAGAGCAAGAAGGTATTCCGACGGCAGGAGAAGTATATTTGTCCAGGTCGGTGTGGTTGCCCGGTGAAGCAGAGGAGGCAACCGCAGGTGATTCTCTTGTTCAGGCCGATGAAGCTGATGCTAGGGATGCACAAAACCAGTCCGATCGTTCTGATGAGGAAGTTGCTGAGGTAACGGATGACTCAGCTGAGGAGGTTGATGAAGATGGGAATGGTACTGAGAGTGGTGAAAATGGTGATGCGGCTTCGGTTGGTGGAGAATCTCTTTCTGAGGAGGAAAGTGGGGCAGAGGAGGTTGAAGAGGAAGATGTAGGGGAGGTTGAGGATGAGGATGAGTATGACACAAGAGAAGACGAGCCAGACGACGAAGGACCTACACCAACAATTCGAGAGAAGATATGGGACTTTTTAACCACATGAGTTACGGTGTAATGATATTTAAGCCGCAGGCTTGTAGAATTGTAGGGTTCAGCAATTTTAGGGCTATAGAATTTCAATTGACACGCAAATGAGGGTGGGTCTTCGACTATGTACCTGACTCCCTCTGCACCTGCCATTTTTTCTTTAAAGCAATCATGTCCAAGTAGGAAAGAGCCGACCGTGTTCGACACTGATCACAGTTCATTTTTGCTGGTTGCTTTTGCTTTACTCATGTACATACATGGCAGCATTACAACTACTGTTTTTATGTTTTTCTTTTCTGTACCCCCTTCTTTTCCCTCTTTCTTTCAAACAGGGTTTTGCTGGGGTCATCCTCCACTCATAGCAGCAGTCTGCCCGATACACTTCTAACAATGTCGATACCAGCACGCCATGCAAATCAACATAGGTTTCGGGTCCGCAACAGGGAACAGAAAGCAGCACTAGGTTTGCTTTATCATTGGTCTAATGAACATTGTGAGAGAATCATCTCGTTTAACTGACAATTCAACACTCTGCACAATGTTTAACTTGCGTGCACGTCAACCTTTTGCAGCTCGCTTTTTGAATGCAGCTTTTTCAGGCGGTGCTCACTGCTGCAACTGGGACATCGCACAATCTTAATCGCAACTCCAGCATCACACACTTCTCAAGCCCTACAACGATAGAGTAGTAGCACTCCCTTACAGATACGTCTGATCACACTCCCTTACAGACTATCGAACCATGTACACTGAACCAATTCCCATACCCAAATATTGATACAAAGTTGTGGCAACAGTCAACACACAAGACCAGCATTTGGGGGAGTCTTACGAATCGGTAGCATCAGGCGGTAAATAGTGGCCTTGACTTGTCCTTGGGCGTCCCACGATGCTACCGATTCTGGTCACGTTTCTGGTCCAAGTGGGAGGAGGTACTTCAGGGATTTACGTAAAGAAGTGGGTCCCGTTTTTTCTGTTTTGTTATTTATTTATTTATTTATTTTTCTCGTTTGGATATTCTACTGGCAAACAAGACCATTTCTGCAACATGGGTGTCTGCATTGTTGTCATATCTAAGGGGAAAACTATGCTTAAAGAGCACTATATTAGGGGGTTCAAACATGGCACTTTTGCAAAACCAAATAATTGGGGTTTAGCACTTGATATTTCTAAGATCATTTGAAATATCAAATCCACAATATTGGTGTTCAAACTTTATTACCCCTTGATATTACCTCTTAGTATAGAGTCAAAGTGGGTGGAGAGTTAAGGCAAGTGACGTGGTTTCTGATATTTCTTAAGGAGGAGGAAGTTGTTTTCTCCACAATGTTATGGAAGGTCAATTTTGAATCTAAGAATATTATATATGGTTGAAGCTTTGTTTCAAGGTGAGTGATTTGAGATTAGTGCATGTGATTTGCTTTGAATTTATATTTGGTCAAGAATTGCATAAACTTTGTGTGTTAATAGTAGAGTTTGGTTGTTGTTTTGATTGTAGTAAAGATCAATTTAGACATGTTGTAAAGATTGCATTTTTTTTTTTTTTTTTTTTTTTTCATTTTTTGTTATAGTTTATTCCAATTATTTATTGTAGACTAAAAATGCAAAAAAAATAAGGATATAAATTAGAAGTTGCCAAATTATTAATTAGTATTTTATTATGTTGAATCTTTATAATATTTAATAAAGCAAGGTGATCTATAATATTTATTATATATATATATATATATATATATGTTTTCTATATTATATTTAATAATAAATATTTATGCATAAAAAGTTGGCAAACTTAAAATACATGGTCAACAAGTAAAAAAAAAATAAGTAGTTATATTTTAGTAAAGTAATGTTTAACAATTTGCTTTTAAGTACATCAAATGAAATACTTATAAAAAATATATTTTTTAAACATATTATATTGCTTGAAATCATAATGCATTTGTATAGTTGGTTTTTTCTTTAAACTTTAAATGGCTAAACTTTTGGTGCAATTTAATAATAAAGTGTGAAAGAATTGTAATAGATATTATTATTTTAGATCAAAAAGACAACAATTTTTTGTATAATGTAACTTAGCTTTTAAAAAATATAAAAAATATATAAATATCTAATATTAATCAATGTTATAAAAATATCTTACAACAAAAAAATATAAAAAGTAATTTATAGAAACAAGATTATAATTATAAGTGATGGCTTTTACTATATAATTCTATTTATTTAAAATAAAAGTACTATAATATATTTCGTATTTTTAAAAATAACTATTTATTTAATATTTGAATATATTAAAAAAATAAAAATAAAATTTTCTTAAATTTTTTGCTAAATCAACTCACCTTATTGTAATCATTAATAGAAAAATAGATCAACTCCAAAAACCATCATTACAATCATGGCCCTCATTTCCACCTTTCTTGTTTTCAATCCATGTTCCCTCCATTTCCAAACTTCTTCATCTCAACCTCCTATTCTCTTTCCTAACTCTCTTGTTCTCCCTTGTTCTCTATAGTAAGGTGGATTTATTTAGTAAAAAAGTGGGTTATTTTAATATTTTTTAAAAATTATTCTATTAATGTGCACATTTTAAAACTTTTACATTTTTTTTTTTTTTTTTTTTTGTGTTGAAATTTTTAATTTTTAATTTTTAATAAAAAGATCAAAATCTTATTTATATATACATAGAAAAGAAATTAGAGTTTTAAACAATTTTTAATCTAAAGATAAAAATATAAAATTATTATAATCTATAAAAACAATATTGGTACTGTATTTATAATACAAAATGGTTAAGACCTATAAGAATTATATTAATACAATAAAACCAACTAAAACTAAAACTAAAAAAATATTGCATCTCTTTCATTTTATTTTAATGTTGAAACATCTAAAATAAGAATGATTTTTAAATTTTTGAAATATGATTTTTTGGTTGATAATTTTTTTAAATGTATAAATAAATTAGAAATTTTTTTTGTTTTATTCATGTAGTGTTTTTAGCAAAATAAATTTATATATTCGAGTTTATACTTATTAATTATAAGATCAAACTTTGATGAAAATTTTAAAATTATATTTTTCATTCCTAAATTCTACAAGGTCTTGAAGTCAAATGTATTTTGAAATAATTAAACTACTTGTATATTTTTATAATATATATAATTTCGTTTTTAAAATTATTTAACTAAATTTTAATTTAAATTTAAATAAATAAATAAATAAATAAATAAATAATACTAAAATTTTAAAAAAATAGAAAATTGTTGTTTAAATCCTAAGAATAATTGTTTAGATGTATCTCTCATATATATATATATAGATATAGATATATAGGACTTGATAAATCAGCCTTTTTCTAATAATTTTAATATAAAAATAAATCAATCAATCAATCAATTGTTACATACTACAATTGAGTAGACAACAATTAAAGAACTGAAATGCCTTTGAGTAATCCAAATCCAGGATATTACAACAATTTGGATCTCAACATTCTCATTATTTGGATCTCATATAATTAAATGGGCAGGAACCAAGGTATAGTATTTTTTAGGTATCATATATGTATTGGTCTAATTCAAGGGACCAAATCAATACTATTATGATTTGTGGGATTCATAAATAAAATGGACATATAACCCATGAACGTGATGCATGTGGGTGACTTTGCTACAGACACATACATACATATACAAAAAATATATATTTGTTTTACTTGTTCATCTGTACATATTTTGTATACTCAATATGTGTTGTTTTAAATGTTGTATTTAAAAATAATGGTTGTAATACAAGATATTGGATTTGAAAAAAAACTCATTTCTTCCATATAATTTGATTGTAATGTTTTATTGCTTATTTAATTGCAAAAATAAATAAATAAATAATCAAGTTTAAAAGTTAAAGGGTGCATTTCTCTTACAAGGTAAATATTAATATCAATTAGAAATAATTTCACCGAATCAATTCAGATCACACCACTTCGTTGCATCTTTGAATACATCTAGGCAACATAACAAGGAGCCAACTTATGGAGATTTACTGACTTTTCAAAGTATAGAAGTGTTCCAATGATAAAAAGTAAAAATAAAAATAAAAAATTGAAGATTCCTCTATAGTATTATTTTTTATTTTTATACACTTCTATATAAGTACAAATATAATTAAAAAGAACCAAATTTTCAAAACACATGTTAAGTGTTTATAATTAAAAATAAAATATTTTAAGTTTTCATCTAAGTAAACCCACATTCATATTTCATACTCTTATTTTCCCACATTCTTGTTTGTTCAAACAAAGTTGTGTGTGTGTGAAAAAAATACAAATAAATAGCTAAAAATAAGAGCTCTTGTTTGTTCAAACAAAGTTGTGTGTGTGTAAAAAAAATACAAATAAATAACTAAAAATAAGAGCTCTTGGTTAAGAAGATGATTATCTTTCAAAATAGAGTCACATCATGTTTAAGAATTCTTTCACTCCACCCTCTCCACTTATGATGATAATAATAATAATAATAAAATGTTCTATTTTTAAAGTTAAGAATTCATTTGATTGGGAGTCATTAGATTATGAATATGAAGAGCTTTTGGAAACCATCACTTGTGGGCACCATCAACTCCTTTGCTCTTATCCCATTGTTTGTAGAAAGCCACTTCATTTGTGTGGGTCTACACTTTCCAAACACAAAGACATTGTCACTATACTTCTCATATCTCCCTCTCTTTTGGAAAAAGGAAAAGAAAAGAAAAAAATAAGATAAGAAAAGAAAACCATGTAAACATTCGTCAAAAACAAAAAGTCAAAGCAAATTAGACAAAAAGACAAAAGAAGAAGAAGAAGAAGAAGAAGAAGGAAAACACCTTTTCACCGCAAAATACTTGATCAAGGAAAAAAGGCATTTTTTATGAGTTTCTTTGTCGTTTTGCGAGTGTTCTTTCAAGGATGAATGTGTATTTATGTATATATAAATGACTTTATTGGATGATAATGAAAAAACATTCATTACTACTATTAGTATTACTTTTTTGTTTTTGTTTTGTTTTTAATCTTATGTGGATGGGGGAAGGGCAAGATGTACCAATCATGGATGAGTCTCCAATCATCTCTATTCCCCTTTGATGGAACCATTCAAAGTGGGCCGTGCCATACATTGCTTCAATTATAATCTTATAAAATGGTTATATGTTTTGACTACATATAGAGAAGAGTCTATTGATGGGTGGATGACAAGGCCAAAAAAAGCATATCTACATGCATTTGTTTTTATTCTTATGTTCATAGAGCAGCTTTTAAAATAAAAATTCTGGCCTCTTTTGCCACAAAAGGAAGAATTCCTTAGAACTAAGTATCAAAGACAAACCTAGTGAAGCAATATTTTACCATAGTATTTATATATAAGTGGGAACGAAAGGGGAAAGACGAAGATGAAGACCTTCATGACTTCGTGGTAAGCAAGTGTATTAATTTAGGCCAACAATGCATTATTGGAAAGAAAAAAATAAAATCGAATGTATGCCAAACACCAATAATGCAGGTAGGAAAAATTCAGTAACTGTTTTACTATATTAATGGTTGAAACGGGATCTGAAGTAGTTCACCACAATTAGGATTTCGACCTATTAAAAGCTCCTCAATCTTCAGCTTCTCCATGTTGAACGACTCTATTTTCCTATATTAGTATGCCTCAATAATATTGTTGATACTAAATGCCATTGTCTTTTAACTCCTCATTCGAAGTCAATGAAGGTTTTTTCACTTTTATATATATATATATATATATATATAGGAAATACAGAGGCAAATACTGGTTCTTAAATCATTGGTGTTATGAGGAGAAAGAATCAAGAGTGGCTTTTCAAGTGGCTATCAAACACAGGCCTGCCATTTTCGTAGAAGCAAAAGCCAACTAAAAATAACTCAAAAGGATTTTCAAGGTTGCTAAAATATGAAACATTCCTGTGTGTGTTTTTTACCTAATTTGAACACAAGCACAGGAGCTCAAGATGAAGCAAAACTGTGGAGTTTTCTCATGTGGGTTTATGGTGGTGGGGAAATTAGAACAGCACCCATGTGGAAAGTTGAGAAATTTGGGCCAATTGTTGAGACATCCTCATTTCCTGCATAATTCCAAAGGTAAGGAATGTGGCTCTCCAAGTGCAATTTGACACTCAAAGTCATTGTCAAGAGCAATGAATCAGCTCCTTTTTTTAAAATACAAAAGGACAAAACCAACAAACAAATCGAAAGAAAAAAAATAGAAAAGAAAAGAAAATTAGAGCAACTTTGAATGGATCACTATACATCGGTGGCCTACACATGTAACTTTCATTTTGGAAACGAAAGAAAAGAAGAAGAAAAAAATTGCATAGCTCACAGGATTTGTATTTTCTATGTGCTTTTGACCCGAGAGTCTGCTCCCCTATGGCTATGTCTTTGACCCCGCGCACTGTAACAAGCCTCCCCTTAAATTGTCAGAAAAATCAATTATATTAGACGCTGAAGAAAAAAGAGCATACCAACCTCTCATCGTTCTCATTGGTTTTAACACGTTCAAACACACGCAGATAAACATAAACAAACAAACATATATATATATATATATACATATATGTATGTGTGTGTGTGTGTGTAAAGAAGTAAAATGGGTAGCAACTAGCTTTCAAATGGCGAAGCAAAGTTCGCCGCAAGGGGTCTGTTGCTTGGGGAAAAGAGAGGCAACATCGCACAGGAAGGGAATCACAGAAACAAAAGAAAAAAGAACACCTGGAAATGCACACACATACTTACAAACAAACACAAACACACACACACACACATAGACACAGAGAGAGAGACTGTGGGACTAGCGGCGATGCATCATCGGTGAGGAGAAGCGGGGCCTTCATCGCCTGCCAACTCTGATCCAATTCTTCTGCCTCGCACGCTGCCGTTGTCTGTTATCTTTTTTTCCCACTCTCCTCCCGCATCGTCATTTTCCGTCCCTAGCGACGCGTTTCGTCGCATTGCCAGCCTCGGTTTGCATCTCCGGAGAGCGAGTATATCTAGACCTTTCCTGTGAGATGCGTCCTTGAGCTTCAGTTGAGTGTTTCATCAACAAGTTCCTGAGTAGATCCCGCTTGCGGAGGATTTCCGAGGTTGCTTGCGAGGGAGGCCGGACCACCCTCGTGGATTTGTCGGTAACGTGTAGTTGCCGGAGCTGGCTTTGTCCTGAGGTGGTTAGATTGCGCCTTTTCAGTGGTATCTAGCTTTGTTGTGGGTCACTGTTGGTGTGGGTTCGTTTGGGGAGGAGTTTGAGGATCCCGCCGAGCGGGTCATTGCAGTGTGACTAGGGTGCTGGTGGTCAATTTCGACGTTTTGGCTCACTGAGATGACGGCGATGGAGGGGATGGTGAGAGTCCGGGCGGTGTTGATGACGGTGGTGGTGGTGGTGACCATGGTGTGCGTGACACCGAGCATGGGGGCGTTCATCGTGGAGGAGAACAGTCTCATGGTGTTAACTCCCGACAGCTTGAAAGGGACTTACCAGAGCGCTATCGGCAATTTTGGAGTGCCGCAGTATGGCGGCACTTTGTCGGGATTTGTGGTCACACCGACGGTGAACTTCAAGGCGTGTGAAGCGTTTCCCGCCGATCACCTTCGGTCTAAGCCCGGCGCTCGCCCCAACTTCGCCCTCGTCGATCGCGGCGGTACTACCCCTTCCCTTGTGTTGAATTTCCGTTTCTCACCAAAGGTTCCCGATCGGATGGCTTCGGTGACCAGCGCCGATCGCTTTCAATTTTCGAATTCTGTTTTTCCAATTCGATGGCTACTTCGGCGGTATTCGAACCATGATTGTTGGCGGTTTTCGGTAATGCTGTGTTAGGACTGTCTAATTCGTGCACGGGCTAGCGATCTGAATTGGTCGTTGGATTGGGTAACCTTGTGTCAATCGTCATTTAGGCTGCTGTTTCCATTATTAAGGAAGTTTGAGTGGGATCAGTTGAACATCGGTTAGAACCAGATCAAGCTAGTGGAGTTGTAGAAAGGGGAAAGATTCACGGCTTCCCCACGCACAACAGGTTTCCTGCCTTGTGTTTTTCGCCGATCGAAAGCTTGGGCAAGGTGGTGGAATTACGTGAGGGCGTCTTTGAGAATGGTGCCGCAGAACTGTGCCCTTATCGATTTCAATCTCTGACGCTGTGACAGTCTTCGATGTAGAACTGGGCATCTGGGCCACAACAGCGATGATGGGGGTGTGTCCAGATGATTTGAGGGGTTTGATCACCAGTTCGAGGCAGGCCTTGATAACAGAGAATGAACTGGATTGGTGGTTTACTAGCGAGGTGGGTAAGATATGGTTTTGATGCATTTGGGTTCGTGCAGATTGCTACTTTGCTACCAAGGTGTGGCATGCGCAAGAAGCCGGAGCAGCGGCGGTGCTTGTGGCGGACAATGCGCAGGAGGAGCTCATTACCATGGATTCCCCCGAGGATGACCCCGCAGCATCCAAATACCTGAGCAACATTTCTATTCCGTCTACTCTCATCACGAAGGACTTCGCGGACAAGTTGAAGAAAGCCTTGGCCGACAAGGAATTGGTGACCATGAAGCTCGACTGGCGAGAGTCTCTCCCACACCCCGACGAGCGCGTGGAGTACGAGTTTTGGACCAACAGCAACGACGAGTGTGGCTCTAAATGCGATGCGCAGGTCGACTTTGTGCGTGATTTCAAGGGTTTTGCGCAGCTTCTGGAGCGCGGCGGGTACACTCAATTCACTCCCCATTACATCACGTGGTATTGTCCTCAGGTATAGCAATGCTTTCGTAACCCCCCCCCCCCTCTCTCTATCTCTCTCTCTCTCTCTTCCGACTCAACCAGCCTCATACTTCGGGCTTCAATAGAGCTCTCAGCAAACGAGAAGACTGTGATAAGAATCAATTTGGACGCACAAGACTGTGTAGCCGCACCCACAGTCCTTAGAATCGAACTCACTCAATTTGCTTCCGTATCATCGATTGGTGTGGTGATTGTAGGTGTTCATTGAAAGCAAGCAGTGCAAGGCGCAGTGCATCAACAACGGCCGTTATTGCGCTCCAGATCCCGAGCAGGATTTCTCCAAAGGATACGATGGCAAGCAAGTGGTCACCGAGAATCTCAGACAGTTGTGCGTGTTCAAGGTCACGAACGAAAGCAACCCCCGCCAACCATGGAAGTGGTGGGACTACGTTACCGATTTCCAGATTCGCTGTCCGATGAAGCAGAACAAATACGGCCCCGAGTGTGCCGAAGAAGTGATCAAATCCCTTTGTAACTCCTCGATCCCTGTCCAGCAGTTGGGTTAATCATCTGCTTCTTTGTCAAGCTATGCTTTAAGGAGATGGCCTAGTGCTAAACCCTAAATGGATTTCGGTATGCAGCCATCGATGTGGAAGCCGTGCGCAAGTGTATGGGCAACCCAGATGCGGACCAAGACAATCCGATTCTGAAGCACGAGCAGGATGCGCAGGTTGGGTCAGGGACTCGAGGAGATGTAACGATCTTGCCGACGCTCATCGTTAACCAACGGCAGTATCGAGGTCCGCTATCGTTTTTTCCAGTCTTGTTCTTGCATTGCAGCTTTGCAGGAGCAGGCTTGTGGTGCAGGCAACTAGTCATGCATCTCTTCATATAGGCTTTGAATTCTCCGCTTGTCTCAATTCAAACTTATTTGTCGGTCCAAATTTAGGAAAATTGGACAAGACGGCGGTGCTTAAGGCCATCTGCTCGGGTTACCAAGAAACCACGGATCCAGCTGTTTGCTTGAGCGACTCGGTGGAGACGAACGAGTGTTTGGACAACAACGGAGGGTGCTGGAAGAGTGGCTCCTTGACCGCGTGCAAGGTACTTGCTTCCATCTTCTATTTTTCTTACTTAGGTGTGCGTTTTTCAACGCCGGGGACGGGATTCAGGAAGTATTTTCCATCATTTGAAAATCGTTCGGTTTAGGGTTATGTTTCAAAAGTATGTGGATTGCTCTTCTCCTTGCAGGATACTTTCCGAGGTCGTGTTTGTCAATGTCCTCTTGTTTCTGGCGTCCAATTTGAGGGCGACGGTTACACGCATTGCGAAGCGAATGGACTCGGGCATTGTAAGCTAGGGAACGGCGGGTGTTGGGAGGAGACCGGGGCGGACGACGTTCGGTATTCGGCCTGCCAGGTGTGTGTCTGTGTATGTGCTGTGATTTTTTTGTACAGATCTTGCGTAGATTTCTCTTAAATTTCGTCAATTGCATCCATCTCTTAGTTTGAACATTATGAATACCGCTGTTCTTTCTATTCGGGAAACGCACATGGATAGGCTCTCAACATTTTGTGTCTGGGACTTGAGCAGGAGAACTATCACTCGGGTTGTCATTGTCCCGAAGGCTTTCAAGGGAACGGATCGGCGGGTGCCGGTGGTTGCGTAGGTGAACATTCATATTCTTCCTTTTATCTTAGTGTGCTGATAACACCTCTGCATCAATCCAACCTCTGAATATGGTTTGCCTCTTCGTATTGTTAGACAACTATCAAATGTATCGAGGGATTGCAGAAGAAGTGGGTGGAAGCAGTAGCTTAATAGAGTTGCTCTGGGTGCAGATATCGACGAATGCAAAGAAAAAACCAAATGTCAGTGCCCTGAATGTAAATGTACCAACACATGGGGCTCCTACAACTGCGAATGCTCTGGCGGACTTCTCTACATGCAGGAGCACGATACTTGCATAAGTGAGTCCTCTGCGTCTTAGTAACCACATGTTAAGTTTTACGATGCATTGTGGTGGATAGTTTAGAACAAAATACCAAAACAACGGTTGAGTCAATTGATCTTATTTGTTGAGTAATTTATCATTGCAGACCAGAGGAGTGCGCAATCCAAGCTGGGCTTGACAGTTTCACTCATCGTCTTGGCCGGTCTCTCTATTCTTGCCCTGGGCAGCTACGTTGTCTACAAATACCGCCTGCGGGTACTCATCACACCTTCTCGTTTGATAGGTCTTACATGGCCAAGTTTATCATTCATATTTTGTGAGTTTATATGTTGTGAGTATTTTCAGTGAATCGTGAGCATGGATGCTATGGTGCAGACATACATGGACTCAGAGATTCGAGCGATTATGGCGCAGTACATGCCTTTGGATAACCAAAACGAATCAATCCAGAGCCACCTTCAAGATGACGACGTATGAGGTTTTAGGGCCCAAGTGGAAACCTCAAACAAGATATTGTATGAAATTTCCTGATACAGTATTTTGAAAGCAAGAAGTGCGGTGTGTGTCGCCTGGAACGATTTACGGATCAGGGTAGCGCGACGTCAAGCAAGTGTAGGAAAACACTGCTAATGTATGCAGGAGAGATAGTTTACTTAACTGGGTGTTCATGTGTAAATTGAAGACGAGGAGATGAGAGCGGCAAGCTGAGGGAAACTACATTTAAGTTAGACCAGTGCACGCGTTTTTCACATCGTGCAGAATTGATTACAATGCTTCTGCTGATCAGTTGCAACGGTGGGATCCTTGTAGAGACTTAGTTTTTATGTAGAAGCAGGAGTTGCGATGAAATTATCCTTGTCATGACCTGTCTCACACCACCTAAATAGCTGCACGTTATGTTTTTGTTCCCATCTCTCTGGTTCTACTTTCTGATTTATCAATTACAAGGGCGTAGCTCACTTGGGAGCTTCTTCAAGTTGCCGACCTTGCCAATTCTTGGAGGTGTTCAAGCTCAGGCACTGAAAGGTTGATTGATCTGGTGCAGATGAGGACCCTTGTGGACAGGTACTCTGCCAAACCCAGTGAGTTCAGATTTGTGCATGTTTTCAACTGTAAACACAAACCCAGTAGGACCTCATTGCATTCTCACCATAGCCAATTCTGCTTAAGTGATTTTGCCAGTGTAGGAAACTAAAGAGGCAATGTGAAGATTTTCCTCCAGTCTTCTCCATTCTGGCATTTGCATCGGTGCTCTCAGATATGTCCTGCTTCTCTATTACATGACCAGTAAACGAATGAATGAATGTTCCTAAGGACATAAGCAAGCCCTTCCATTGGCGCAGGTTTTTACTTTATGCTATCAACCAGACCATTGGTTTTGTGAAGAAGTGTCTCAATGCAGCAGAATATTGATTGTTGTTTACATAAGATTCCGAGGAAATGTTTCTAAAGTGGGGAATTATCTGAAGGTCACAAACTATTTGCACATGGTTTTTGCTAAATTGTTACTAAGCAATTCAAACTTTGAATTTCACGTCAGTAGAAAGTATGAATATTACACTACTTTAGAATTGGTATGAAAAAAAATTGCAAAACAAAAAGTGTGCATTTATACAGGTAATATTGTGAAGTATTGGTATTTATTTAAGAACAAAATAATGCGGAGAATTATCTGTCATTGAAGTGGCAAAATTTATGTGTTGTGCATGTGTATGAGTACATATCAGATCTTAAATATAATATGTGTTACTCTGAACTTGAGTTTTTAAGAGATTAATTTCGTAAAACATGTATTTTTATTTAAATAAAAGGATAGCTTATATGATAAATGAAGCTACCACCTTTGGTGGACAGTTCTGGATTTTACAATTTAAAGTACTTATTGAATTGGGTACTTATTGTGTGATAATTTGGTAGTATACCACCTAAAACTATATAAGTTTTAATCTTTGAATTAAAATCATATGTTTATATACATATACACACATAATTCATGCTAAATTACATAGGTATGAACTTATTTGCCAGAAACAAAGAAACATATATATTGAATGATATGTATAAAATACATTTCATGTCCTCTTAGCATACTTTATTTTATAGTATTTGTATGTACATCTATGGTTACAGAATTTAGCATGGCTGTCGTGTAAAATTAATCTCATACACAAACTTCCTCCTGCTCAAAATACCAATTCAAATAAAGACATAATTTTTAGCCATATCATATACATTGTAAGAAATATTCATTGAGATATCATAGATTTTAAATTATTGTTAGTCATGTGATAAATCTCAATTAATATTTTAAAGAAACTTCTAATTTTGTGTATATATATATATATATATATATATACATGAATTCTATGTTATAAATGAATTTTGCCTGACAAATTATCATCTACAAAACACCTTAATCCACGTGATTCCTTACCCCCACCCACTTCCCACCTCCTATCCAAGTTCTCTTGAAAAAATACTACTTTGTTAACAAAAGATTCAAGCTCAAATGGAGTAGTAAAGGCATCCTTGATAGTTTTGTAATACACTTTTACTGCTGTACATCTCTTCTTTTTGCATTAAGCTCTTTTGCTCTCCTGTAGGCCACACTTGTCCTCTTGACACCAAACTAGGCGTGCTATAAAGTTTAAAGTATCCGCGTACTGTTAACTTCGGTGAATACTAATCTCAAAAACTCATCTTCCTTGATTGCTCAAAACCTCTGGAAATTTTCTTGTGTTGAACTAGTTGAATTTTTCTGTAAACAAAACCGTCAAAACCATCCCATGCTCCTTGACTTCAGATCCTTCTCACACGGACATGCAAAGAACAGATTCTTATGATCTGACCCCGTATTCGACACTGTTAATGCCATGCAGCAGATTGATGATAAAGAGGAGTTCCAGCACATTGGATGAATCATAAACTTAAAATAAATTTATTTCATGAGTGCGGTTGGAAGAAATTTAACGATCTTCAACAAAGGGCTCATCAAGCAGATAGACTGTGATATTTGGATTCTTCAAAAACAGAAAACATCAAGACCAGAATAAAGGATCACCACCTGCAGATTTTTGTTACAGCTTTTGTGACCGTGACACCGCGAAAACATTTGGAAGGGTGCGCCCCTCAAACAGAGAGCATCGTTAATTCCAGCTCAACTTCAAACAAAGAGTTGGGCAGGAGGGCCAATTAACACGCATTTTACACCTACAGTGGCCAGAGGATTAGCACTAACTTACATTATTCAACTCTACCTGCTGCTAATCAGCAAGCAGCAGTCCAACACGAGGTCATTAACATGAAGGAATTCCTGCTTGTGCAGTTAACTAGGTGTTGAGAAGCCCGATGAGGAAGCTTCTGACGACCGGTTAGAAGATCCCGCTGCTTCTTCCGCTACTTTTGTCCATACGTTCGCCATTTTCCTCGAGTACCCAACCTGAAAGAATGCCAAGATATTATCAGTGGGAATGAGCTGTGTTGCATTTTGAATGAGATCCATTCAATCACTTCAAATTTCTAAAAAGATAGTTAGCATTTTTGCTTTTTTTAAAAGTAATATGCCAAAGATAGCATAATAGAACGCAACTGTATTCATCTAAGCAAAGCATATGAACGAGGAACTAACGAAAAGGATCACCATAGTTCAGCTCACAAAAAAAAGTTCTGTGACTGGCTGCTCGACAGTGTACCTGAGTTTGAATTAAACCCCGCAACATGTTCATAAAGTCGCGATTTCTTTCCTCATTAAAACGCTCCACCTCCGATTTGTTGCGATCCTGCATGTAACAAATGAAGTCCAATATTACCAAAAGTAAATGAATGGTAAATAGGCTGCAAAATGAATGATTATATACAACACGTCTTACTCATTCTGAGTTACGTACCTTAATCTGATCATACTGCTTATTCGCCAGCTGGCTGGCTTCTTCTGTATTCTTCAACTGTTCTTTGAGTTCTTCAATTTTGCGGTTTTGTGACTTGCTCCCACCAAAGATCTTATTAGAAGCAGCCACCGCCTTTTCAATTTGCTTATTAAGCGATGCCACATCTTGTGTAAGAGTTTGCACTGTAATTAGCGAATTATTGCGGTCGGAAAATGCACTGTGCACAGCCTGCATCAATCCTAAATACTCGTGTAATTCATCCTGCGAAAATGCCACAATCACTGAAAGTCAAAATGCACTCAAAGTGGGAATGAAAATGTGTTTATGGGACAGAATAAATCTCATAGGACAGGAAAGGCTAGAGGTACCAACCAGATTTTTGACAGAAAACGCGTTCGATTCTCGATAAAACCTGCTTGCTTTAACAGCAGCAGTAGCTGCGCGTTTCACATCTGCAGCAAACATACGCTGACAAGGTACCATCGTATTCTCTGTCTCAAACTTGGCCAATTTGAAGAAGGCTAAGCCTAGGTCTCCCATGACTTCACCAACCTCCTGTTGTCCCTTCAACCAAATCTCGGCCTGCACAGTATCGGAGTTTTCATGAGCGACTTGCCAGATTTCTTTATTCTCTGGACAATACATGTCATAAGTTAGCGGAACGTCTATAAGATTGAATCACCTAGAATATGACAGCATTCACAAAATTAAGCGCTTCAAATTCACTTGCGATTAAACCCTATCATCAAACAGCAAAGTGAAAAAACCGCAAAAACAAAAGCTCTTACTCTTTGTGAAAAGAAAAATGCTTCCGGTCTCTAGCATTACGTTGTTAGTGGACACCATTTGACCCAAACAAAAACTACATTGGACATAAACCATGAGTTACCTGCTGAGAGGCATAACTCAGTTGACGTTCGAGGTCCGTCAACTTGTCCTTCTTCTCCAGAAAGTCTTTATCTTCTTCAACGACAAAAGGCTTGCCACTACTCCAGTCGTTTGTAACAGACTGCTTCAGTTCTTTAAACATCCGAAGCAGATCCCGACCTCCTCTAGCAGGTTGTGCAGCCTCTTGTGGACTTAACATTGTGCTGCTTTCTCCAAAAAGTTGGAGCGGGAGCTTGACAGCCCCATCCAGCATTCGAGATGCAATATCTGTGGTCGGTTGAAGAGGCAATCGTCCCTTCATAAGCAAGCAGTGGATAAATTAGTAGGACTTGTGGCAAATAGTTTCCAACAGCATCTTGGTTACCTCCTTCAAGGCATCGAACAACGCCCAAGAACTTTGGAATGGACAAAATTGTTGCCACTCATTACATACAAATTAAAAACAATTACATATGAAATGTTCAGAGAAAATGAACAATTGTCCATTGTTACAATATTTGAGACACACGAAAAGCAAATTACGATGACCTTACATCCCTTCAACGTAAAGCACCCCGACTTAAGTGATAGGCTATGCCATTTGCCTAAACTCTTATACTCCAACATGATACTCAACCACACTTACCTCAGTTTGGAGAAATTTTCGGAGCTCCTCGCTGTGACGAAGGACAGGATGTGCTGCTAGTCTGGCCAAGTACTTTTCCAGAGCTAATCTTCGTTGCTCAATGAATTCCATCTTTTGCATAACTTGACTCTCTACAACACTTTTCTCGGGACGAGGAGGAATAAAATACCCTCTGTAACTCTCTGCTAGCGTATCGGCTAAGGTTACAACATCACGAAACCGCCTCCTCACAGTGAAATCTGAACCCAAGTATGATGGAATGTTTGTATGTGTGGTAAATTTGTATGTCATGTAGGAGGTCCCTCCTGGTACCAAAGAACTACCTGGTTCTTGAACTTTTTCAGGATCAGTGACCCTCACTTGCAGAATCTCAGAGAACGATGAGGATGAAGTGAATGAAGGAGAAGCATGAACCCCCAAGTCACGTGCACTACCGTTTGAATCATCGGCCAGGTAAGGGGAAAAAATTGCATCTGCATAAGAAGGTGGCTCAATCATGGTGTCTCTGAAACTATTGCTGCGACCCGTCTCCTGGAATCCTTTCCTGAACGAATCCTTAAACATGTTTAGGGGCTGCTCCGGACTTGCCGCAAGCGGGTGAGATTCATGTAGCATTGAACCCCCACCCGACATGGCACTCCGGTAGTCACTGGTAGAAAGATACGAATGGGGATGGTCTTCTAAAGGTAGACTCTCCATTGCATCGGTCGAGGTATAGAGCCGCGCCTGCTGCGCATCGTCCTCTCCCGAACCCATCATTGCATCCAACTTCACAGGAACCCTGTTCCTTGAGCAACACTTCAACCTTGTACCAATATCAACTTCAATGCGACCACAAAATACCTATTGCACAGTATATGCCAACTTAGAAGAAAGAGGAAAACAATCCGTAGCCCTGACAGCAACAGAAGCTGCGACCTATAATGAACTCCAATAAAATTCTAAAATCACAAAAAAAAAAAAAAAAAAAAAAAAAAACGATGCTAAACTACAAACAAAAACTGTTTAGAGCTATCCGTCCCACCATTGCAGGTGACCTATACAAAAAACCTCGACGCGCCAGTCTATCATTCAATCGATCCACCATACAGCGGAAACCCTTAACCCAAAAGCAGCTGCAATTTGAAGACAAACCTTTTACTGAGGTCGTTACGTTTCGCCTCAATTGACGACCGCCACGCACGGCTCTGTAAGCCTAGAATACTCTCCGAGCTCTCGCTTACTCACCAACCGTAGGCACGTCAACGTCGATTAATCATCAAACAGTCGTGGCAATTCCACCACGTCGCACAACTACTACGAAAAAACTCCTGGTCTCTGGCATTCACGGGAAAACCCAAAATAATAGGAGACTAAAAAACTCCAATCTCCCGTCCCTCAATCGCCCAGTCTCACTGATGCCACCTCCGACGTGGGGTCAGTCAGAATCAATGAAGAAGTAGAAGAAGAAACCCCATCCACGCCCCAGTGAGAATGAGAATCTGGGTTCGGGTCAGCTCAGTGGGTCGGGCCTGGAAGCGAGACACGACGCGAAGCCACGCAATCGGGTGAAACTCGCGGATCTATGGACATGAGATTGCGGTGAGATGCAACGCAGCGCCTCAACAGGGTCCGAGGATGGGTCCGAGGAGGAAGCGATCTCGACATATCTCTCTCTGGCTCTCTGTTACTCTGTTTCCCTGCGTCTCGCAAGCACCGAAGACCATAGTCACGACCCCCCTTCATGAACAGAGAGAGAGAGCACCCACCTCCCCCTTCACCGCTCTCGCTTTGGCGTAACCCTAAAGTGGTGGATGGGTGACCACGGTCTTTGGGATCTTCTTCTCCTATAACCGTGACTTTTGCATTCATATTTCTTCACTTTGTGTGTGCATGTGTTCAGTTGGACTAGTGAAAGCTCCCCAGAAAAGAAATAAAGAAATAAGGAAGGAAGGAAGGAAGGGAGGGAGGGAGGGGGGAAATTAATACATTTCACTATCTGGGGTGGCTTGAAAAATTAGGGTTGCAATGTCTTTCGAGTGTTCTGTTTGGGGAAACTGTGTTGATTTACTTCGAAAATATGTCTGTTTGGGAAATGCCGTTGGAAAAGTTGTGTCTGTGTTTGAGATTTTCTTGCAATTGACAACATCGTGCAATCTAACATTTTGAGTTCTGTTAAAGAATTTTCCTTGGAATATGATCTGAAGATTGAATCATTCCAGCTATATCTATATATATATATATATACATATATTCATTCATTTATTCATTTGTAAATATATGTAAATAAACCATTTCAAATTGGTGTTGATTTTTATTTTATTTTTATACCAAGTGAAGGAAAATAAAACATTTTCTTTTGGATTACTCATATTTTTGCAATTTTTAGAAAGAAAAAAATATATAATGAAGTAGAAGAAAATTTAAAATTCTTATTATACAATAATTAGCCTCAAAGATTTTAAAATCAATTCTTAGAAATAATTTAAAGAATCAATAATGATAGATATAATGAGTTTTTTTAAAATTTAACAAAAAGATTTTTCATTCTTATCTCATTTTGATAGCATGATCCTTAATTCTTATAACAACCTAACAAGAACATCTTATTTTTAGTTTTTGCTTTGTTATAAATAATCTAACAACTTTATTGTAATGACATATTTAAAAATTTGTTAATACTACATCCTTGATTAATATTGCTACATTCCATGTAACTTCCTCTTAGACAACTAGCTAATAACATGCATCTTTTTTTTCCACTTTTTCTCCTTTCTTCGCTTTGAGAAAGAATGGTGGTTGAAAGGGAGACAATGAATATTTTATAAAAAACACATGGTATTTGCTTTAAACACTATTCAATTCAAAATTATGTTTTTTAAAATTATTTGGCTGACAAAAATACAAAAAACTTGTTTTTTTAATTTATTCTATTTTGCAACAATATTGGGGTTAAAATTTAGCCTACCAAACTTGCCTTAAGCATATAAGCACACTTATTAGTCATTTTAAGTTGTGTGGAGGTCATGTGGGACGTAGCAATATCAATTGGGTATGTAGTGTTAACAATTATTTATATTTAATGTATGTATGCATCATATTATAATTGTACACAAAGTAGATTTTATTTTATTTTTAAATCATTTAAAGAGTTTACTATTAATACAATAGTGTATTATAAAATTAATAGAATAGTTTTATTTATAATTTTTTAAATGCATATTTATGCTTTATTAATAAAAATAGTATTTTTTAATAAAATGTTTGATATAATAATAGAAATTTATGAGTTTGTTAGATTTTTTATAAAATCGTTAGGTAAATACTCTCCTTTTATTAGATCGACATCCCTTGTGTCATCCACCCTCACATACATATAATAAAAGCATTTTCATATCATAATTTTATAACAAAATAATCATTGAAGTTTTAAAAATTAATGTTATATTTTTTTAAAAAAAATCTTTAATATTATAAGTGTTTTTCAATTAATATTATAAATTTTATGTTAGATAAACAACTTTATTGTAAAATATTCAATGTAATTTTGAATTGATACAATGTTCTTTATCATAATCATATATGAAATCATGCCACTCAACAAAATAAAATAATGATATAACCATGTTATTATTGTGTGTATATTCTCTTCTTTTGTAAAGAATATTAGTCTTCAAATAATTCAATCTTAACTTAGTATTGGCTTTAAAACTACATGAATTGTTCTTACAATTTATCTTAGGATAAAAAAATATTTTTTTGCATGTAATTTCCTTTATTCTTTTATTTTTTTATATTTTTATAATTGATGAATTTTTAATAAGTAATAATTAAATTATATATATATTTTTAAAAAATATTTTTAAAACTAAATTTTTTAAATAAATAAAAACTTCTTACCCATGGTTTTTTTTTCTTTTTTTTTCTTTTTTTTTTCTTTTTTTTTTTTTTTTTGCAGTTTATTTGTTATTGATGTAATTTTTTTTTCTACAGTTTAAATAAAATATTATTTTAGCTGGGACCAAACTAAGTTAGTGAAATAAACTATTAAATAATCTCAACAATTTCAAGGCTTTTCAAAATAATATTGTTTTTATTTTAATCTTAAAGATTGTTACCGCATAATTAAAATTTATGTCATCAAAATTTATTTTGTTAATTCGTATCATTTTTATTCTATTTATTTATTATTTTTGAATATAAAATTTAAACAAAGTAAACATATTGTGTTTTGTTAAAACAACATTTGCCAACTATCATAATTGTATTATTCAAATTATTCATTCCATCACTTGTTTACTCCTACAAATTATAATATATTTCTCATTTATTATAACTTCTTTTTAATATTATATATATATATATATATATATATATATATATCTATATCTATATACACATACATAATGAAATTTTAAAGCCACACCCCAATTTTATTAGAGCCACATCTCCTTTTGCCACCTCATGACTCATTCTGTTTCCATCCCATGTCCCCAACCCCATTACTAGCCATTGTCCCCATCTCCCCCTCTCCATCTCAATCCAACCCCACCCCATCTCCACTTCATCTGCATCACAGTAAATTTGAGTACAAGTCAAATTGATTAGAATAAAGCAAGAATCATGGACCAGATAGAACAAATCCTAAGCAAAGAAATCTAATAAAAATTACTCAAGTTGAAGAATATCAATTTGAAAAAAAATATTAGCACATTTTTCAATGCGATTACATATACATGCATGCAAAATAATACTTTAATATATTAGAATGTTACTTTATACTTATTCACAAGAACAAAACCAAATTTTATTATGAATATTACCTAGAAAAAGAACATAACAATCATAAAAGCCATATATTACAAAGCCATGAAGTGATATTTACTAATTTCATCTAAATTTTTTCTTTTAGAGAATCAATGTCATATTGCGTTGTATACCTTTTTTTAATATACATGTAACATGTTTTATGTAGGAAATGTAAATGTTGCCACAAAATAATTTCTGATATTTTAATATAGAATAATTATTAAAAATATGTATATATATAGAATTCAAATTATAAAAGAACCCATTTTAAAGTTATTTATAATTTTTATCTGTAGAATCAAATAATTTATAGAATGAAAGTAAAATATCAGTTAATTTAAAATAAAATATCTATTAATATTTGTATTTTTATTATTAAAATTATATTTTATATTTTATATTTTATTTATCTTATTTTTAAAATACAAAACCGTAGATTATTTTTAGTTTGCTACACATAAATTAATTCTTAAAGTTGTAGTTTATAATTCAAATACTTTGATTTTTTTACAATTTATTACATAATATTTTATTGAAATAAAGTAGTTTGATTTCATCAATATGAATATTAGATAAATTTGAAGATGATTTCAAAAACAATTTGCTTTAAGAATTTTTAAAAGAATTTTATAATTACAAATATCAACTACAATGTCAAAAACTTGTGATATTTTAAAATTAGATATGATATATGTAAATGAATTAAATTATTTCTTGATTTTTTTCCATAAATAAAAATATATAAATCTACAGTAACCAAAGAAAGCTTAAAAAAGTAATTTTTGTAGTTATCTGAATAATATTTGATAGTCTAGAGTCTTTAATCTTCATAAATTTAACATAATAGTAATTATCTTTTCACATACAATGTGTGAAACAATTTTTTTTTGGAGATCATCCTTGAAACTTAATTAATTGTTCATAAAATCCACTAAAAGCATAATACTTTGATATAGTGGTTTACTAATATTCATTACATTATTAATTTTATTATAAAAAAACAAAACTATTTATAGCATATTATATTGTTAGATGAAAAAAAAAATACAAAGAACTTAATTTCAACAATTAAAATTTTAAATTATATATTTAAAACGAGGTGAATTTGTGAAATCTATAATTAATACAACTGGGATTGGAACAAAGTGGGGACATGGGGGGAGGGAGAAAAATGGCAGCTAAGAACAAGGATTAAGAACGGAAAATGGATGCTGGGAATAGGGTTGGGGACAAGGGACATGTAGAAAATGAATCACGAGGTGGCAAGGAGGGGTTTAGCTTTAATAACTTCACACACACACACACACACACATATATATATATATATATATATTCAAAAATTGTAGTTGTATATGAAAATTTTAATTTCCAATAAGTTGTTATCCACAACTTAAATTAGTTTTTGTTATCAAAACATAACACTTATTTGCTCAATCTTCTAAAATATATATAAAAAAATATTATAGTGTCAATATCATATTAAATTATTTATCATCAAATTAAATAAAATAATAATATATAAAATGATTAGACATATGAATCACACAAGATATTTGAATAAAAGAAAATTCTATTCAAATATTATAATTATTTAAAAAAAACATTATGCACTACAATGCAATCTTAGTTACATTTTGTAAAATATACTAAAAATAATTACTTAATTTTTTAAAAAATTATTATTAAATTTCAGTTATAAAAATCAACTATCACAAAAAGAAGAAGAAAAAATAAATCAAAGTAAAGTAAAATCCATTAAAAATCTATAAAAAGAAGGATAAAAAATTGAACCATTAGAAATAGATTTAAGCTCTATAAATTTGAGCTTGTTGATTAATTAAAGCTGTTGATAAATGAACACTCTTTTATCAAATCTTAATAAATGACTTCCTATGACTAGTTGATTCAACCTTAGTAAATCATCTTCTAAATATAATTGTGTTTGTTAAAAATTATTTGGAATTAAAGTCTAAAACTAAAGCTGTCAAACTTAATTATTTAAACCATTCATGTACAAACAAACATATCCAAATCACTTTGGATATTGTGCTCAATATCTTATTGGTTATAAATATTTAAATATTATTTATTATTTAAAGTTTATAAATTTTATTATAAATAATAATAAAATATTAAAAACTTATATCATTTTAGTATACACATTTTTTAAATGACAATATTTTTTATTCTAATATAATGCAAGATTAAGATAAATAAATAACCTTTATTTTTGATTTTTTTTTATTTTTTGATTTTTTTTATCTTTGAAGTCATTTTAAACTCAAAAATTAACAATTTGTTTTGAAATATTTATCATGTTAGAGAATCTCAAATAAAATAATTTAAAATGAATCAAAATATCCAATAATTTTTTTAAAAAATATAATAACTTTAAATCTATACTTTGATAGTTTTATCATTGATTTGGGTACAAGAACTTCTATAAATATTTTTTTGTTGAAATTGATTTTTTTTTTAAATCTTTATAATAGTTTTAACTTATACATGTATTTCAAAATAAACTCAAGCTTGTGTGTTTTCAAATTTCTTTTAGTAATTTTAAAAATAAACTAATTATATATTAAATTGAAATTATAAAGTTAAATATTTATATTTTCTACTTATTTAATTTTGATCTATAATTTTATTTATTTTAACTACACTCAAATATTTGATATATCTAAACTTATTTTTTATTTTTTTATAAGGTATGTTAAAATTTATATAATTTTTTTTGTAATTATTAAAAATAATACATATATTTTCAATATATATATATATATATATATATATATATACATATTTCCAAATTGAAACCACTATTATAGATTATAGTAAGGTTCAAAGTTTTAAAATTTAACTAGATTTTTAGAAAAGCTTCAACATGATGAAAGATGATTTTAGTCTTTAATCCACATGTACTAATGAATAAAAAGGCTACAAAAAGAAATTTGAAGGATTGTGTGTGTTATAAAGAGTATTTTACTATAAAATGGTCTCTTGATGATTTCTTCGAGAGAATTCTTTGCAAATATGGTATTTCTAAGGATTTTATACATCCAATTTATATTTAAATTTTTAAATATATTTTATTAATCTAATATTTTTTTAAATACTTCTACTTATCTATTTTTTTATATAAGTAAATATATATTTGTTTATATATATATATATATATATATATATATATATTAAAAAATAAAATACTAATATTAAAAAACTAGAAAAAATCTATGCCTTAAGCATTTTATAAGTGGCCTTTAAAAATATTTATATGCAAAGGTAGATTTATAAATCTTTTTTTATTATAGTTTTTTTTGAGAAAAAAAAATACAACCAAAAGAAGAAGAGCCAATAAGACATTATTTTTATTTTAGAGATAATTTAATTGCAATCAAATTCCAATCAAATAAACATCTTTTGAGTATAAATAAAATTCTCATATATTTATGAGAAATAAAATAAATAAATAAAACTAAACATCACATCTCTTGTTTCAAAAAATAAGATTTTTAGAAAAAATACGTTATTTTTCTACCATGAGATGTGTTAGCTTTTGAATTTAATAATAAATATTATTCACTAATAAAAATCATAGAGCACCTGTAAAGTAAAAATATTTTTTATTTATGAACATATGTATGGATTAAAAAATTTAAATGCAAATTATATTCTAGAATGCAAATTCAAATAATTTTAACATGTATTTCTATGATTGAAAAAACTCTTCTTGTAAAATCTTACATGAATTATACAGGTAGTCAATTCTATGCCAATTTTAGATCAGTTTAGATAACTCTATTGCAATCTTGTAGCAAATAGAACAATTTGTTTATCTTGTTGGTCTATATCAATTTTAGTCTTAGATTTTATTTTATTTATTTTTAATACTTTTCCTCTCTCCTCAAGACATCTTATCAAAAGTGGACCTCGTCCATAATAGATTTGCGATTGCATGTGCACGTCTTTTGCTTTATTATAAAAGCATCGTTAAAGTAAAAAGGCAGCACGGGAAGGGGTGGTGGCAAAGACAATTAAGCTTCCGTTCCAGGAACTCTACTTTCGTGTCGTCTTGTGCCCGAGTCCCTTAACACTCTCTGCTTCAATTCCTTTTGTTCCGTCACCATGGTCAGCTACGTGATCACTGCAGTCATGTGTATTTCGTAGTATCACTCACAGGTTTCATTTGTGCTTGGTTAAAGAATTTACCATCATCATCATTATTATTATTATGTTGATGTTGATTTACTTGAATGCTCGAGTAGGGTTGAATCCATGAGCTTGATACACTAGCGTCGAATTTCTGTGCAATGTGTGTCTAGCCATTGGGTTCAGCTGTAGTTTCTAGCTTTAAACATGGCTCACAGTTAGTTGCAGTGCCGAAATGTGAATTCAGGGAAGTGATAGACACGCATTGCTTCGAAAACTATGCAATGAATTTAAGGGTTGGCACAGGGCAGAGCATTCTGGGGACTGGGATCTCTGCGTGGATCCTGGTCATGGTCATCTGAGATATTCGTGAATTGTATCTTTTAGGGTATCGTGTGCGTGATTCGTGTCTTTGGATGTTGGAGTTCATGCCTAGGTACTCTGATGTGGTACTTCATGCGTGAGATTTGCTTACCGTGACGGAGATCAAGTCAGGCTCTTGGTGGACATCGACGGCAGCCACGCCAAAGATCCTAGTTCTATGCTGGTTCCTCACAGTAATTTTTGGGACATTTGCTATGTATGGATGATATAGTGTACCTTGATTTCTTTGGAGATGTGAAGAACATGACGCGTATTTGTAATTTTTCTTTGAAGAGACGTGAATCACTAGCCAGCAAGAACCAAAACTGTGAGGAAGGCCTCAAGGGTCATGCTTGAAATGCACTATTCTCGCATGACCCTGGACTTTCTAACCAACTACATGCTTGCTGGGGTGGTGGCAATCATTCCTTGGAAGATGTTTCACTACAAGATCGCAGAATTTGCTACTGCAAGCATGTGTAACATACACAAGCATTATTATATTTTGTCGTGGAGACATGTTGGCGATTCAATAGTCTGTAAACTCACCAGTTCATGCTTGGGTGCCGATCAATTCAAACTATCTTGGTTATAACCAGGGTAAGGATTTTGATTTCAGTTTGTTGATTTCTATGTGCTTTTTATTGCAAGATTTATTTTACAGAAATATTGTTCGACGGCGAAGAATTGTATGCTGTTGGCCCACTTGAAAATGCCCCATCTTCCAAGGGTTGCACAGCAGGCCGTATCTGCATCAGGAGGAGGCCTCTTCAAGACACAAGAAACAGGGAACAGAGGCTGGATGGATCCAGGAATTATACCGTGTAGCTTACTGTACTTCTCTATTCAATGTGGATTCTACGATATTACTTGCGCTCACATAATGCAGCGCCTCTTCTCTGGACACACAGTCTTCTATATGGTTTATGTTTTGTCTGTCTCTGGGATATATTCTTCCTCGGTTGTTTGGTGACAGTAGTGGGTGGGTGATGGTACACAATTTCCAGAATGGAGTGATAAATAGTCCAACAGTCACGTTTTCAGTTCCACATGTCGTTCCTGTTACAAGGATCTGGTAGTTCTTACTGATAGTTATTTGTCTGCACGTGCTGCAGTAGAGGACCTTGAACTGTTAACACTATGTTTTGCCCTTTTCATTTTCTGAAACCCATTTAGATACCACGTTCTGATCAGTAACAAATCCTCTTTGAGTATCACATCCCACAACTTCTAACTGTAACCAACGATGAGCCAACTACCATGATGCTGGCACTTAAGAAAAGCTAAAACAACAAACTTGAATGGCATTTCAATAAGGAAAATACCACCCAAGTTGTGGACCAAGTGGAACTTTGAAAAACATTCCGAAATTCGAACACCTGCGGTTTCACACACTGACCACGGTGCCCCACGGCAACCGATAGCCGTGGCTCGGCTCGCCAATGACAAAACCCTAGCTGTGCGACAGGGCTCAGTCTTTCCGCAGCACCACTGGTTGCCACCTTCCTCGCTCTCAAGCTCTATCCCTCGCATTTTGTGCGCGTCTCAACTTCGTCTTTTTTTCGCTATGGTATGCCCTCTTCGAACCTCTCTCAAATTTGATATTGTGGTTTCGATTTTTATCCGAGTATGATAAAGTTTGGTTTTAGGGTTTAGGGCATTTAGGGTTGTCCGGGGTATTGTATGAGAGTTGGCGTGTATGGATGGGAAGTGTGTCCATTGAAAGCATCTCAGATGCTTCGCGGTTTCCCGTGGCATTAGATTTGGTTAGTGTCTCGTTCCTCATGCGAGTAAAAGCTATGTCTAATTAGTCTATTTCCTACAGTCGGAGGACTAGATGGGAAGTAACTGCCACATGCCTGGTCTAACTTGACTGCAACTAGTAGAGGATTGGGGTGCCAAATATGCAGCGTATTGTACTCTAGTTTTTGGATTTGGTCATTTCTTTCACATGCACTGGTCAAACCAGACATGTCTTACCTCTTTCTGAAACGGAAAGACTCAAATTGCAATGTGCATCGGGTTTGCCATCTCGGGACGGGGTTTCACGTCATTCGGAATAACTTTTCTGAAGAAATTTTGTTGATTATTCAGTTCATGCGCTTCCTATCGTAACAAACCACTTGAGGATCTACTCAAATAATCTCTTCAAATTCAAGAACCGGCAATGTAGCCTTGTATGATATCCTATAGACATTGTGACCAAAGCTCATGGTTACGCCAGTATGCCATCCCTGCTATGCCATTTTGTTCTCATGAGATTTATACGTTCGGTTGTTAGTGTGGTGTGCCTTGGGATACTGCGTTCACGCCGAGACATCTGCTCACCACATGCGCGAGCTGCATTTCCATTGGCAGAGTCTAATTTGGACTATTAGTGGACTTTTTTCTGCAATTTTGCACTAGATTCTCGTCCTATGCTTGGCCCTAACATTGCCGAATTTTAAGACACGGGTTTTTAGTGTTTTCTGTTGGATGTGTTTGCATATGAGAATGTAGTGGTGCAAGAGTTGTGTGAAATCAAACTTCTTGTATCAAAACTAAGTTTTTTTTTTTTTTTTTTTTTTTTTTTTTGATCAGGGGCGTGTAAGGACCAAAACCGTGAAGAAGGCCTCAAGGGTCATGATCGAGAGGTACTACTCTCGCATGACTTTGGACTTCCAAACCAACAAGAAGATTGCTGAGGAGGTTGCAATCATTCCATCGAAGAGGCTTCGCAATAAGATCGCAGGATTTGCCACTCATTTGATGAAGCGTATCCAGAGGGGACCAGTGCGTGGAATTTCCCTGAAGTTGCAGGAAGAGGAGCGTGAGAGGCGCATGGACTTTGTGCCAGAGGAGTCTGCCATCAAGACTGATGTGATCGAGGTGGATCGTGAGACCATAGAGTTGTTGGCCCACCTGAACATGCCCCAACTTCCAGGTGTTGTACAGCAGGCCGCACCTGCTGCAGGAGGAGGCTTTTTCAAGCCACAAGGGGGAGGCTACCAGGGTAACAGGAAAAGAACCTAAACACAGGCAGGGATTGTACCGAATATATATTTTTTCCTTTATAAATTTGTAAAAGGTATTTTTCACCTTGTGGCTCAGTTCTTGGTGCTGTGTCTGGATAACCGAAAAGTAGTGTGCATGATTCTTGGCTTGTCTTGATTCACCTGTGTATTTGTTGTAAAGTAGTGTATTTGAGGAATGTGCTTGGAAATGAATCTGGTATGGGTACTGTAATTCGGTTAGCGGTTGATTGATTCTAGGATCCATCTGTTTCATGCTGGTGCCCAACGGAACTGTTGTTATTAGCATAGATGGAGGCCAAGAGTCCGAGATCGAATAATTTAATGTTATGAATTCCCTTCGAATTGGACCAACTTGGGCTAAGAATGAAGCATTTCTACAGGCTCATGAAGAGCATGGTACGCAAATCCAAAACAATTGTTTTTGAATGCCATGATCCCTTTGCTTCAAAAGAAAGAAGCATGACTTTGGTGAGGTTTTGCAACTCTTTCAAGCAATTGCAGCCATCATCTACTCTAAGAAGATGATTGTTGGACGCAACCGTGTGAATTTCATGAAATATTAAATTAATAGTTTGTTGATTGTGTAGTACATAAGTAACCTTCTCAGAGAATCTAATCTTCCTCAAGTATTTATTTTAATTAAACGATAGTTAAAAGTTGGTATGAAAGTTGCAATGATACAGTATGTAGTATTAGGTAAATAATAGTAACACTGTATTATTTCAAAATTTTCTACTGTGATGCACCCAATCCGATGTATAAGTTTTAGTGGTCATCACTGAATTTCATTTTACAGATTGCATTTTCAAGAAGATGTAGTACTACTGAAGGCCAGGCCAACTAAAGACGGTAGATATGAAATAATAACATATCTAAGTAAATTTATAAAGAATATGAAACTTACGTTTTATACGCAAGTGTCATGTATCTCTTATTTGGAGCTACTTAGTAGAATAAATTAGTTTCTTCTTAAGAGACGTTGGAAGCAACATCCTCATTTTTTAAGGTGATATTAGCTAAATTGTTAGTGTTCTATTAAAGTTGTATAGAATCATAGAGCATCAACATAGGATAATTTCTTGGTCTAATATAAAAATCCAGGCATAAAGACTTTATCTCCACATGTTACAATATTAACATGTGAATTAAAAGATTTAATAACATAGTATTTGGAAAGTCTCAATGATGATTGTTATTTTATTTATTTACTTATTTTGAACAATGTTAAAAAAAATATCAAAATTATTTTGTTTTTAAAACACAAAATATCAATCAATAAACATCATTTAAAAGTGATTTAATCAAATAGATGAGATTAAATTAAAGATGTCATATGGACAATTGAACACTAAAGAAATAGTGCATTTTTATGATTTTACACACATATATAAGTCACTTTTGGTCTTAAGAAAACTATTTCAGTTCAAAATTTTTAACACATAAATTTTATTAGGGTAGATATGATATCCACTAATATATGTAACATTAGCATATGTAGTTTTCCAAGTAAAAAAATTAAATTATATAAAAAAACAAAACAAAAACCTATCTTTTCAGATATATTATGTAGTCTTTTAGAGCTTCCATAAAAATAGGTACCAAATTATGTAGCTTTAGAATCTTAAATTACTTGAAGAATATATATATATATATATATATATATATACTTTGTACTCAAGTATTAATATTGATAGCCTTTGATATATTCATTAAGTTCCATATTTATATATTAATTTCTTTATAGATATAATAGTTTCTTTTTATATCTTAGATTACAACTAATCAAAACATGGATAGAGGCTTTTTTGAAACCAAGTTAGTTTCAATAAAAATAAAACAATATATTGTGCTGATTCTTCTTGACATTTGAATATGAAAACTCAATGTCAAAGATTTGAAAAAATAAAAATAAAAAAATACACTGTAATAAATGAAATAGTATAACAATGACATAAGTGATAAATGGTAGAATCTTCCTATTTTTTTATTTTTATTAAATAGTTGACTTCAAAAAGTTAGATATTAAGATTTGAATATGTAATCTTTATAATCATATATTAAATTTTGCACATGAAGTAGGAATATTTGTTGAATGGACAATTACTCAAATGATCACCTTAAAATACATATTTATAGAATAATCATATTTTAAAAAATATAGAAATATAAACTAATAAATCTTAGACCTTATTTACAGAGTATTTCTTTTTGTACTAAAATTTATGAGAAATCGCTTAAAATATCTTTGCTATGAGAGCATCTTTTTTTAATATTTTTTATTATCGAAAATTTAAAATAATGTTTCACCTACTAAACATGTCATTCATTAGGGGAGAAAAAAAATCTATAGATGGTTCTACTTGAATGAAAGAAATAAATCACAAAAAGAGGGGCCAATATTCATTATAAATATAATAATAATAATAAAAATAAAATAATGTCAATGATGCAAAATCTCTTTAGTGATTTTCACACAATATTTAGATTCTATTATACTGCAGTTGTAAATATGATTGTGTGTCATTTTGTTTCTGTATTTTTCATGTTAAAGGAAATTTTAAACAATATGATATTTGAATAGTGCAATTTTCTTTTTTATTTGATTGTGATAAACTGATCTTACTTATCCTAATATTTATCGTACCAAAGTTTCTACTTTTTTTTCCTTGTGCTTTCTTTGCTAAAAACATGTTATTCTTTAAACAGTAATCATGCAATACATAAAACAAAAATCACCCTACAAAAATTCATTACAATGAATTCACAATACTCGTCTATATAAAAATATACAAAATACAAGCAATGTAAATATCCGAGAATAACAAAGTGCAGTGAAGTTCAATTGGACATTCAATGTTTTTACATCCACATAATTCCAATCTCAAACTAGAATTTCTTATTAAAAAAAATACGTTCGAGATTCCTTAAATAAATAAATAAATATGTATATATAAATTTCCCACAAAAAATATATACCCACAAGACCTAAAAGTATACATATACACATACATACATATGAAGCAGTATGTGTTTGCCAAGGAGTCCACGGAGACGGGCGGTGGCGCGGGCACCGGAGACCCCGGCCCCTCATCCAAGTCCCAAAACCCTAGCCGTGCGCAGAATTCAGTCTTTTCGCAACGCCTTTGCCTGTTCCGAAGGAGCGTCGCCTCGCCTCGCCTCGCCTCGCCTCTTTGCATCTGCGCGCATCTCGTCGCTTTCATTTCTCACTATGGTGATGCCTCCACCCTTGCCCTCATGCTTACCCTGGCATACAATTTTTATTTTTTATTTTTTATTTTTTTTATTTTTTAGGGTTTGAATTCGTTTAGATTTTGTGGGTTTCGTGTGAATGGTAGCGCGTGAGTTTTTATGATGTGGGTTTGGAGAGTTAGGTCTGGTTAAGTTGAAAGTGATGTCGCATTGGTCTGGAATAGTGGTAGCAGTGGCCGCAGCAATGTGAATCATCTTAGGGCATTTGCCAGGTAGACCGTTACTTCGTTGATTCGGTGTGTTATGATGTTTTTTTAGGTTGACTTATCGAATGGTGTTTTTTTTCCGTGGTGTGTAGAAGAAATGATTGGTTCTGCCCAATTGTGTGTGGTTGCTGTGTGAAAAAGTTTGGCAGGGTGTTGTATGTGTTGGAGTTACCTCTTGTTTACCCACATAATGGTGTTTCTTGTTGTTACGACAGACTAAGCGCACGAAGAAAGCCGGAATTGTTGGCAAGTACGGTACCCGTTATGGTGCCAGTTTGAGGAAACAGATCAAGAAGATGGAGGTCAGCCAGCACTCCAAGTACTTCTGCGAGTTCTGCGGGAAGGTGAGAATTGTCCGCAATATCACATGTCTGTGTGCGTGGTGGTAAACTCAACAATCATGTGTGTAATATGAAACAGTTATTGTCGTAAGTTAACTTACATATTCCCGTGGACAATGAATAACATTATTGGCTTTTTCAAAGCATTAAGGATTGGTGTTGCAATCTCTACATCCGATTCTGGCTGTATCACACTTATGATACAGTTTAGGATAGACATTCAACTCTTATATTTCGTATGATACTACGAAGTATTCTAATTCAGTTTAAGGAATTGATTAGTCCCCTCCTGTTCTCTTTTCCTGCAGTTTGCGGTGAAGAGGAAAGCTGTTGGTATCTGGAACTGCAAAGACTGTGGAAAGGTCAAAGCCGGAGGTGCTTACACCTTGAAGTAAGTGACTCAACACCACCCACTCCTGGCGTTAGGACGTTTGGACACCTTCACATTTGGTGCATCATGCGCAATAGTAACCGAAAATGTTTTGAACTAACTGCAATTTTTAATTGTTTTTGCAGCACGGCCGCTGCAGTTACTGTGCGCAGTACAATCAGGCGATTGAGAGAGGCAACCGAGAGTTAGATATTTCCAAACTTTAGGTCCACTTAAAAACACTTTTATTTTTGACAGATGATTACAGTGCTCGCCATTTGTTTGTGACGGACGCCTCTTTACTTTGTCTCACCTTTTGGGAAGGTTGTATTTCTCGTCGGTGCTCCTGTTTGTGTACCTTAATCTTTGTTGTATGCATTTAGACTCACAACTTTCTATGTATCACTTTTGTTGAAAAATTTACCCAGAAAGATATCTCCATGCACGTTTGTGTAATCACATCAAAATTATCTTCTCGATTCCGGTCATTTTATCTAACAAGGTAACGAGGGCAGGAGAAACAAACCCCCCAGCCACTAGCATGTTGTGACACATTTCCTGCCCAGCCCATAAGTAATCATCATACAGACTACAGAATAATCGCAATCTCTACATCCTCTCATCAGTGAGTGCCTATGGCCTTATGTTTTAGTGAGCACTTAACTAATAATGGAATCTGGGTCTAACATTAGATCTGAGCTTCTTAAGCAACTGATTGTCGGTAAATGGTGATCGAATCCAGTCGAGCTCACTAGAAATCGTGAATCGGGTTGTGTGAAATGTATAACAATGTGATTGGTTTTGAATCATTGCCGCAGGGACATCTCTACACCTGAAATGTCTTCACGAATTAATGGTTCTGATCCTGATTGATCTTTTAGATAAATTTATTCATGCCTTACCCTAAGTTCTTACATGCACACTTCATGTTGCAAACCAAAATAAATTGGAAGACTTTGATTGGTTGGGTTGTATCAGGTGGATCTTACCACCTAGCACAATGCATGAAGCGGGGCAAGAGCCCTATCTGCAATAGTCCTGTTGTGTGATTAATGATTAACGAGCAAGGTTAAGGGACATTGCCTCTTGCAGGGGCCATTAGGGGCAAAGCCCTTGGAAGAAAGTTTAAAAATTGCACTTTGTACTAATAGTTCTTTTGCCAATTTTCAAAGACCATTGGAGACATTGTCGTTTCTTTTGCCTTTGATGCAACCTCATGTGCATACACCATTGAGATGCCTTATATACCTCTTTCAAGTCCTCATGGCATTTTCAGAATCTCAACATTGGAGCCAAGAGGAAGAATTCTCCATTGATTCTTGAAGATGGTAATTGTTGTGTTTCACGATTTTGATACAAGTAAATGTAATGATACCATATTGATATGCAATTTTTGGGAGTATTTGGAGTTGTTCTAGTGGTGAAGCTTATGAAAATTGAATATTGATTTGTTTCGGCATGTGCACATAGTATCTTGCTCCAATTGTAGTTGTAGCTAAAAGAAAATAATATGTGAGTTGAATTTCTTCAAATTCTAGATTAAATTATTTAGCTAGGATTTTATACTGAGTCATTGTTTCAAGAAAAGGTGTGCATGGAAGTAATGAGCATCATCTTGTGAAGAACATCAAATGATTCGTTGATATTTGTCTTATAGGAATGAAGGTTTGTTGGTACAATTATGATATGAATTGCAATCAATGCAATGCAATAGATCTTGAAGTAGAGACCTATAATATTATAAGTTGAATTTTTTATTTAATAATAAATTTTATAATAGGTGCTATAAATTTATTAATCATATATATATATTTTTTGTAGATGTTTAGATCGTCAAATTATATTAAAAGACAGAATCTATATTTATTATTCTTTTACCTTCATTGAAAAAATCAATTAGCTTATTTTATTATCAATAACAATTTAAGTCATTTATTGATATTTCATTTAAATTTTATCCATAATAAAAGTTGAAAAGATTTTCTTGAATTAAATTTTCTATATTAAATAAAAAAATAATGAAAAATTTTAAATTTTATATTTAAACAAAGTAAGATTTAAGGAATTTAAAGATAAACTTTAAAAATACATGATTTTGAAAAAAATTAGAGATTGATGGCAAGATAGCATCAAAACTATTCTTTAGATTGGACAAGACTGTACAAAGTAAAATACTATTATTTTGATTTTTAGGATTACGAGCAAGCACAAGACAATACCTTGTAAAATCAGACGCAATACACAAAATGATCAAAAAAATAAGTTTATGTTTATTAACTCAACCAAAATTATACAGTCTCTGGTCTAATACTATTCTACCTTGTGATACTATTTCCTAGGACTAACTAAGCATTGTGCTTATTCTTGACTATCCATTGTGTTTCTTTTTATTCTTAAATATTCTTCTACCTTACTGCATCTTTGTTAATTTTAGTGGCACCATCATAGCTTCTTATTTCTTTATTTATTGTTTTATTGATGCCATGCTGTTGGATTATTTCAGCATATATCATCTATATACGAGTAAAGACTTCTCGAGCAAGTACTAATTCTGTAGGTAGGTAAAAACTTCTTGAGCATGTAATACATCTATAGGTGGATATGATCACCTTATGCAAGTAACAAATACCAAAGGCAACACTTAAGATATGTAGATGTTGCTAATGTATTTAAAAAATATTATGGATTGTTATTTTTTTTTTCAAAAGGATAAAATAGAAAAGATCTACAAATTAGTTGGGTTGAAATTTAAACAAGATTGATTGGAAGGAAAATATTTTATTTTTATTTTTTATATATAAATATTTTATCAAAAAGTGTCCATACAAGTAATATGATTTTTAGAGTGGAAATTAATAATTTGGTAATACATATTATTATTGTTTGTTTCGTAGAAATATTTTTTTCTAAAAAATAATATAAACTATAGATTATGCAATTAAAGTAAAAAGTATAAGAGATTAGAAGATTAAAAATCATATAAAAAATTAATATATTTAACCTGAAGAAATAAAAAAATATTGTGTGTAAGATTAACATACATATTTTATATTACACCATAATAGGTACAAATACATTATAATATTGATTAAACAATAAAATGTGAAGATAGTTGAGAAATAGTTAAAGTGATAAATTCTAGGATATAAGAAATTGACCAATCCAAATAAAATTACTTAAAATAAAAGATTATATAACAAAAACATGCATTCAACAAGAATTTTGAAAAATCACAATTGGAAACATATTATTTTTGTAAAGTAAAGATTAAGAACATATTTTAAAAATAAAAATGGATGTATAAGACTTCATACAAAAATAAAACATGGTTAATTTAAAATTATTTATTTGAATTTGTATTGAAATCAATAAGCTGAAAAGAAAGATATAACTCTTTAATATATAATGGACCTATGTCCAATGATAGAAGAAAAGAGATATTTTAATTTGGTTATTAAAAGAACTTATAATGCATCATTTTTGAAATAAATAAAATTAAATAAAATTAAAATTATTCTATATATATATATAAATATAAATCATAGAAATATTATTATTATATATATATTTTACTATATTTATTAAATTAATTTATTATTAAAATTTAAATTATTAGATCTTTAAAAAGACTAATAGTTTAAAATTTATATTAATTATTATTTTTTGATTTTTTTCTAATTTCTAGCATAGAACAAAATAGATTAGAAAGTATGTTTTGAACCTTCATAAATAGTAGAGTAACTATAATAAATCATATAGAGCCTATAAAAACCTATCTTATCAATTATACTATATTTTTTTGCAACTATAAAAAAAAAATTACAACTCATTATTATATATAAATTAATATAAAATATAAAATGATAATAATGATAATAATAATTATCATCATTATTATAATGCATAGTGGGTTGAAATTATATATATATATATATATAAATATATTTTCTAGTGATAAAATAATAGTGTACATTAGAATAGAAATTAAAAAATATGGCATTAGATTGTATATTTTTTGTATCATTGCCTACTTAGATAATTCTATATAACATATAAAAAATAAATATGATAGAAAAAATATCAAAAAATAATATGAGAAAATATTTTATTTTAAAAAATAAATTTAATTTTTATTTATTAATTTTAGGTAAAATATTTTTAAGGTTTATATTTAAAAAAAATTATAATTAGTATATGTACAAAACAAAGAACCATATCAAATTATTATAAAAAAATAAACCATATCAAAATATTATAGAAAGAAGAAACATATCAATAAATTACATCTAAAAATATTTGAACCGTCAATGTATTTAGTGATGAATACTTGTGTTAGATAAGTTATTTAAGCAAGATTTATTCTTTCAATCAAAACTTTAACTATCACCTTTTTCACTTCATAAAAATATTCTGATCTAATAATCTATTCTATGTAGTTTTTGCTAAATTTTATTATACTTAAGTAATATTAAATATATATATATATATATACACACATATATCTAATTTTATGGTATGTGATAATAAATAGTATATCAAAAACTAGATAAATATTACTTTTGTTTATGAATTGATGAATAAACAATCCACATGAATTTCTTTATTTATTTTGATAGTTTTATATATATTTTTTCTACTACTACATTAATTATATCTTTTTGGATTTCATTGCTAATTAACATATTATGTTCTTATTTCTAGTATATTATATTTATAATTATCTTTGATGCTTTGTTTTGTTTTGTTTTGTTTTTTTTTTTTTTTTTTTTTTTTGTATATATATATATATTTTGTGTATTTTATATCTTAATAATGCACACCTATAATAATTTGTAATCTCTAAAAATAAAAACTCAATAAATCAATACTCTTAAGTAATACTATAAGGTAAAATTATTTTTATTTAAATTTCTTTGTGTTATAATTCCATGGTGGCAACATCTACATTATATTGATTGTAAACCATTATATTGTCTTTTTTTTTGAAATCTTGAACTTGTCTAATTATTTGGATTGACAAACTTAACTTCTCTTTAGTAATTGCTAAGAGCATTGCTTTATTTGACCTACAATAGAAATTAATGTTCTTTAAGAGCACAAATATTAGTTATTACAACCTAATACAAGTAGGCCTATAGATTATTATAGAAATTAAAAATCTAATCTTTTAAGACAAAGAAGCAATAGATGTAGGAAGAATAAAGAGACATACAAAAGTACCTATCTTTCTCATACAAACTTAATAAAGAAAGTAGAGTAACAACTCCAAATAGATATAATAGATGCAATGTGGTGGTAAAAAATAATAATGTAGTATACATCCTTTTACAAGGTTGGTCAAAAAACTCTTTATTCTAAATAGATTTTAATTTAAACAA